ATCGAAATCATTCATGGATTGTCTCGTAAATTATTTAGAAAATTCATTATATCCATAAGCTAATAGCATACAATAAAAATTTCTTTAAAAAAAAACTTAGAACTAAAAAAGATTAAAAATGAAAATTAATTTAAAAAAATTAAAATATATTAAAGAACAATAAAAATAATCAATTTTTTATTAATTAATTTTCTTTCAAAAAGAAATTTTTTGAATAATAAGCATATTTTTCGTATTTTCATCGTACCTAAGCAATCAAAAAGAGTACGTTTACATCGAATATTTCATATGGAAATGAGCTACGACAAATATTGGAAAAGCCATCACAAGACCAACTCTAATTTTTTTTATTGAAATTCTATTAAAGTTTTTTTTTATTGAAATTCTATTGAAATTCTATTAAGCATTTTCAATATTAAACAAAAACTCATAGTGAACGCCAGCAAATACAAGGACATTGCATGATTCCATGAATTTTCTCGAATCAATTGCTAATTTTATTTTGTCAAGATAAAATGAAATAAGCAAAATTTTTAAATAAGTTCATTTTTGACAATAATTATTTCAAAAAAAAAAGAGTCGATTCATTGTTGTACTAACAAAAAAAAATTATCACCTGTACCCGCACTTGACTCTGTTGAAAGAACAGAGGGAATTGGTGGTGGAAGTACCGAAGTAAGCCTGAAATTCAGCGATGTTTGAGTGAAACGACGAAAAGCTAACGGCTGCATTCACTGAACCCATCCAACGAATCAACGAATCGTCTTACTTCACCTTTATCTCGTATTACACCTTCTTGCATAACAGAATGCTATGAATTTCGTTTGCTTCACACCTTATTTATTCTATAATTTATTACTATTCAATAGCACACTAGTTAGGCTTAATTTAAACTACGCTAATCATTGTTATCTTTTCAACCATTGAACAATAAATAAATAATAATTAGCCAAAATATAGCAGATGGTTAAGAAAAAATTACTCGAAAAATATGGCTCATAATTTTTTGGCACAATTTTTTTTAACGTATTTGATTAATTTTTTTACAAAAAATATTTTCATCATGTTTAGTAACTACTAAGCAATTTTAGGTTTAACACAATCGTTTTTATCATTAATAGTGCAGGTATTTTTTAAAATTTAAATTTTAAATAAGCTTGCAGCAAACCAAACTACTGAAGCTTGTGTTTGAAGCTTGGCAATGTATAGAAATATGAATGAGTCCATAGAATCGCTTGATACTCTTAAAGGCAAATTTCTCACATTCTAAGGTTTCAAAGCCAATCGTGTTTGATCTCAGCGTGAATCAGCACATCAGCAGATTTTAATTTTTTAAAATCTTTAGCTTAATTTAGAAAATTTTCTCAATTTTTCTTTTTTTCTTGCATGGATTTAATTGGTGTGTTTTATGGAATGGTTATTCTCAATTTGTTTCATATAATTTCATTACAATTATCGCTACAATTTTAAATTTTTTATAAATTTTTAAAAAAATAGAAAATTTAGAATTTTTTTAAAAAAAAGAGAAATCATTATATTCCTTATATATATTATATATTATATTCCTTATGCTGAAAAATATTTCAACTTGAACTTCATCATCATCACTTGGCAGCTTGGCAGTAAATTGTGTTTTCGCTATTTCTCGTTGCTCCATAGACTATCAGTACTATCAGTTAGAAATTTTATTGGGGATTCACTTGGCATGGAAATGTATGTGGTTTGTTAGCATATCCATAATTTTTTAATGTAGTGTACTAATAGCTGAGCAGTTAATTACTCTTAAAATAATAATTAGCATTACTGTACTCAATTATCAATAAGTGATAAAGAAAATAGACGGATAGAAATTACTGATAAAATTGTAGTGCACACAACTCGCAATTGTTTTTTTAAAAAATTTAGCAACATTAGCTTGAATTGCTAGAATTTATGAAGAAATTGTGATGATAAATTTTTTTTTTTCTTTGCTAATTGTTCAGAGTTCTCCGGCAAAATTATTTAAATAAATCTTTTCTAATTTCGAATAAAAAAAGAAAAATGAAGAAATATTGTTAATTAATTTAAGCAATACAACACAACAGTGGTTTGTTGTTTTAAAATTGATACGGTGAAAGAATTTCGAAATTCTCCCTAATTTTTTTTGTGTAAATCGGTTGAAATGCGACCATATTTTCCTTAATTTTGAATTTTTACACTTATTTATCTGTTTTTTTTTAAAGAGCGCTCACTATTGATGATGTTTGCCGCACCGCTGGCTTGTCAGATTAGACGAAAACGAATATGCCAGGGAATTTTTTGGCGATAGGTGAGTCGCCCTGGATTTTTGAAGGGTAAATTCACTCCTGCCAAGAGCCTCAGAATCAGCGCTTTAAATTAAGCAACAGCCCATTGAGCCACTGTATTCTCTTTTGCTTTCTCTCTTAGGTGAAACTCCAGCGTAATAAAGCTTGGTGCACCAGATTCGAAAAGCTTCGATTCTTGGTAGCGATTATCTTGCCACTGAGCCACCGACATAGCCAATCCTTTTATTATATTTTTATTATATACTTATTTTATTATATACGAAATTTCTCTTCTTTTCTTTACTCTATAATCCTAAAAATCCCGAAATGCTATTAGGTTTGTCGATTTTTTTCCATTGTTCGCCTGAATATTCCTTTTTTGGCTATTTCAAGCAATTTGACTTCGGTTCTACCTGCGGAATATTAACATAAGAGTAATGAGTACCACAAGGACTTCGTTAAATTACTATGCAGATCGAGTAATTAAATAGAGCAATAATAATGAAGCAATAAACTGTAGAATACCATATTTTCCAAAAATTTTGCAAAGTAATAAAAAATGTAGGAATAATGATGAAATAATTCTTAACAATATTCAAATAAGAACAATAAAAATAAAGAACAATAAAAATATCTGAGTTTTTTATCACGGAAAAATGTCATTAAATCTTAGAATCGCCAAATCTCATATCCTAGAGTCATATATCAATGAAAATCATATAAAATAATTTTCTTAATAATTCTTAAAATTTTATTAAAACTTATAAACGAAAACTGATATTTTTTTGTGCATAAAAAATTTATAAATTATGAAATAAATGAAAAAAATGCAATATGCAAAAAAAAAATTAGGTATGAAAAATAATAATATGAAAATGTATAAAATGAATAATATGAAAATGCAACATGCAAAAATAGATATGAATTCTAAGCGTTTTGCAATTTTTTACATGCAATTTTGCTATGATATTTTTTGATAAAATTTAAAAAAAATATTTGAACCATCTTAAGTCCGAAAGAGAAAGCAAAAATGCCTCGAGGCTTACTGTTAAATTCCTCAAATTTGAAATCTCTGGTTTGGAAATTTTACGATAAAATTTCTTTCTTCCTCTCCTCAAAAAAAATTTCTTTTGTAGAGAAAATTTTAAAATTTTTCCAGAAAATCGAATTGTAAAGCTTATTTTTTTTCTGCAGTCAATTTTTTTGTATTTTTAGAGTGGAAAATTTAGAATGCAGCAATTCTTCCTCGTTTTTATGTAATAAATCTTATTTCCTTGAAAACGTTGGTTACCCAGATGGCTTTTTCTTAATACGATTGAATAATGATAAATAAATAATAAATAGTTTATTGGTTTATTGGAAAAACAAATAATTATTTAGATTTATTAATTAAGAAAATGGAATTTTCAATAAAAAAATTATATTTTTATTTTTTTTGGCGACAATATTCTCTTAGTAATTTTCTCTATTGCAAATGTTTACACTTTGAAAAGTTGAAATCGTTATGGCATTAATCAATGTCCAAGAAAGATTCAATCTTTGGCATGAAATAACCCGACAAGGCTTTTCGATTCCCAATTCGACGTAAATCAAGCATAAATCAAGCAAATTTTTCATAGGTGGACTTAGCAATTATAAGTTTATGCTATTCTCGAGATTTTAAACATTTTCATGATTTCATAATTTTCAATTTTGAAAACCGAATCAAGCCTAATCTACAATAAAGACTTAATATTCTAAAAAAGAGTGGTCAATTCAAGTTGTTCTTTCTGCTGTGGTACTAACGTATTTTTCACATCCCTTAGCTTTTCGTAAAGTATTCAAGTACGCTTAACTATAAATAATAGATTTATGAAATTTGAGCTTTTTGGTTGGACTTGTTTATTTCTTATGCTAATTAATTGTATAATTTAGCCAATAATTAAATAGTCTTATCTTTAAAGTTTTCCAGTTTTATGGCTATATTAATGATTGGCAATTTTAGCAAGAAGTTTTAAAAAAATTAAGTCGGGTAGAAGAAATGCAGAATGCAAGAATGCATGCATATTAATTTCTTTCATCTTTCTTAGCTTTTTTATCTTTCTACTATTGATCACTTATCAATAATTGTTAAAATTATTGAATTATCAATAGAAAAAAGTCGAAAAATTCAAAAATCCTGGAAAAAAAATATAAAATAAAACCGATTAATAAAATAAATAACTCGTTGATGGAAATTTCAAAGAAAAGGGTTAATAAAAATTCTTCATACCGTTATTACTTGTATTTTTTTTTAAAAATATCACTTAACAATATCACTTAGCAAATTTACATAAACATATTCAAGATAGGGCATTGTTCTTATTGAGAAGGCATGCTTATGCCTAAATATTTAGGCCTGAATTGAAAAATTAAAAATTATAGATGATTTCGAAACATAGCGAAAAAAAATGATGGATAAAATATGCGGTGTAGTGAAAAGTTATAGAACTAAAAATATGAGCAATAAATGAAAAAAAAATTGCAAAAATTTTTCTGATGCAAATTATTGTTCTGATGCAAATTATTTTTAAAAAACATCTCAAATTTGTCACTGAAAAAAAAATTGAATTCTACAGTTTTTCTCAAAACTAACTCTTCACTTTGCTAGCTGTAGAGCAAATTAGAACTCTTTTAAGTATTTTTACATTGGTCAAAATCAAAAATATTATCATTATCATTTATAGTTTATTATTATTAAATACCTATTGCTTGTGATAAATCGATGAATTGCGATCTATCCATAGATCGCGACCAGTGCATAGACTGCGACATATCCAAGGATTGTGTATCATCTATGGATCGTAATAGATCTATAGATGGTGAAAAATCGTTAGAATGCAATATATTAATAGTCTGAATCGTACCCATATTCGACATAGGTAACACAATTCCAGATTCTGTGAGATCGGTATGCTTTGAGATATTCGTGGTCGCTGTTGACATAAGCTGTGACAATTCGGTGGATTGTGTCGTTGTGTCGTTCGATTTCGGTAAGCCATCAAATTTCGACGTGAATTTGCCCATGGTTCGTTCACACGCATGCGCACCCATGCTTTTCCATTTCTTCGGCAAGTCGCGATCATCACCAATAAAAAAAAAAAAAATTGTAAGAAAAAAGAAAAAATATGTAATTTTACATAATAATTTATTTGCCATCTTTTAATGATAACAATAAGCAGTTGATTATTATTAAAAATCGCTATTCTGAAGATTAAGGAAAATTTTGTGTAAAATTTTGCATAATTGACTTATCCATAAAAGAATTTCTATTTGAAGAATTCATCACAACTTTTAAAGAATTTTGGCTGTTTGGAGGTAAATTTAATTGCGACTGCATAGCGCATGTTAGAAGGCAATTAGAACTATGAACTTTTTGTTGTCCACAAAAGCGTAAAAAAAGCGCAAATTTACCAGATAAACTTGATCAAATTTAATAGCGAATTATAGGATAATCATTCATGGATATTTTGGATTAAGCATGCAGAAAATCATTTTTCATCAAATTTACATTTTTTATTTAAGAGTCTTCACCATTACTGGTTAAACTCGCCCAGCTAGTCGCATTGGTCGCAAATATGGCAGAGGTCTCTTAGGCGATAGAAATATAGTTGAGTCGCCAGCATCGCCTGGATTTCTTCCATCGAGAATCGAACCTCGGCATCCGCGCTCCGAACCGAGCAACAACCCATTGAGCCATTCCATCCCAACATTTATATTTATACTGAGCATTTTACTTATTATTATTTATATTTATGTATATCAATTGCTAAGTGGACTTCCTAGCGAAGAAATTTCTTGATACCAGCAAAATAAGTTAAATCAACATGTTGAGCGTTGGAATGTGCTTGAGATCCGCTTTTATTTCGAAGAGGCTAAGAGGAAGCCTCACTCTACTGAGAGCGAAACGAATGAGAAATGGTGAAAAGCTGTAGAAAAAATATAACTAAGTAAAATTAGTATTATGGTTGCGTAATACTTCTCGATGGAATTTTCCTATCTTTGTGGGTAAAAGCAACAATTAAAGGTAATTTATCTGTATTCAAAGGTAACCAAAATAAATAAAAGAAAAATAGCAAAAAAAAGAAAAATACGAAAAGGCATTGAAATATAAAATTTTTGAAACTATTTTTAAATAATTTTTAATAATTTTAACAATTTAATTTTTAATAATTATATAATAATTTTTAATTTTAATATTTTCATAATTTTGTATTATCAATTTTTTAAAATTATTTTTATTTTTAATTACTTGAAAAAAACAATTCGAAAAAAATAAACAATTTCAAAACGTCGAAAAAGTATTCTTTCGAAATGCATAAGTTTTTTAAGTTTTTTTAAAGAATGATTGTTGCAGTTATCCAATTTTTCTTGAATCAGCACGGTATTTTTCAATTTAACCGATTTCTGATTTTATTGGTAGATTGGTAGATTATAAATATTCAGATCAAGATATCCAAAATTTCTAGTGTTTAGTTAGAAGTTTAAATTTATATCATTGTAAAGTACCATTACTGGTACCACTGGGTGCTTTTTTATCGACTCATATTTGAAATAAATGATTAAAGGACATAAATTTTTCCCATCTATATTCACGGGGAGAAGGGGGGTCAAAAGATCCGTCGATGCCTATGGCTTTCGTGGATGCATTATATATATATATATATATAAATAAATTCGAATATACGATTATATATTCCATTTTATAGTCCAACTGCAATTATATTTCTTATATATTTTTGTATATAATATTTTAAAGTTTGTCGCATTTTATGCGTTAAGATTGAATTCGGCGAGACATAAAAATTTTTTCCAATGAAAAAAAAAGATTTATCGTTGAAATGGAAATGAAACGATTTAGAAATGATATATGATTGTCTCCTACGGTTTCACGGTTTCAACTCAAAGAAGGACATCGATGGAGCAGATTTTTGCCATTCGAAATTACTAAATTTCTCCACAATTAATATTTGATGAAATTGTTCGAAAAAAAAATCTATTAAATAATTCATAATGCTTATTAAAATTAACAAAATAAACCATAATTGATTGATTTCTTAAATTTTTTTTCTACAATACAAATTAATACAAATTCGCTTTTTTTCTAGTACTACGATACGCGGTGATAAGAGATTTGATAAGAGATTGTTAATGGAATTAATGGAATATCACTTACCTTCAGAAGTATCAAACGATTTTTTTCGTAAGCCTGTTAAATGCAAAATTGGTGAATTAATAAACTGATTATAAGCTTGATAAGCAGCAGTTGAACCCATTCTCGTTATAAAAAAAAGAGAAAAAAAGCCAACTGATTAAAAGATATTTTTTTTATTTCGTTTCTTTGATGAACATTTCTGGAAAATTTAGAATATGGTAATATTTAGGATAATGGTTGATATAATTTTGGTATAATTTTTTGTAACAATAATAATAATAGTAATGAAAATAATATTAATAAATATTGATAAATAACAATGATAATAATTATAATAGTGATAATAATAGTTTATGAAAGGAATTATTTAAATATTATTATATAGGCTTAGCGATAAACGAAGACTAGGAGATTAAGGCTGGCTAAATGGCAATATGAAATGGGAAACACACAACTGCAATAATGTTAACCAAATTATTCGCCACCACGACCCATTACAATAAAACAAGATTGAATTAAAAACATAACAGATGGATGAATTCGAACGAATAACGACTAGAAATTTTTATTTAAGCTGTTTTTCATACATAAAATATATATATTTCCGTTTTTTAATTTTTTCTTTTCAAAATTGAAATTATCTATAATTCCTGAAAAAATATTTATTGTTTTTGCTTAATAAATTTTATTTATTATCTTTTAAATAATATTTGAAATGAATAATTTTATTAAAAGAATTTTTAACGAATTTTAATAAACAATAAATAAATAATTAAATAAATAAATAAAAATTAGTCATTTTTAAACTGACTAATCAAAAACTTATCAATTATCAAAGTTTATCAATTGTTGAGACTAATAAATTGTTACTTAATATTTTTATCTTTCCTAATAATACTATTGCTTTGTTGTTCTATAATATGATATGATAAGAAAAATTTATAGTAGTAAAGAATCGCATGATGATAGAATAAATATGCAAAGTCATTTCTTTAGCAAGTCATTTCAATTTTTATATACAAATTTTATCTACAAATTTATTCCTATTAATTTTTTTTTGAGAGTCCTCACCATTACTGATTAAACTCGTTCCACTGGTTTATCGCAATTGAGCAATACGCCAGGGAGTCTGTTGGCGATAGAAATACAGGTGAGTCGCCAGCATCACTCGGATTTTGACAGGTTTATTCCTGCGGGAATCGAACCCCAGCATCGGCACTCCCAAATGAGCAACAGCCCACTGAGCCATTCTATCTTTCAGTTACATGAAATGAAAATCGAAAATGGTTGAAAATTTTGAAATGAAGAAAAGAAGTCAATGGGTTTGAGATTGATTTCTGACTAGTTGACAATGGATTTGCTTTTGCTCTCATAGCTTTTGGACATCAAAATAAAGACAATTAAATGATCGAACAAATAAATGAAGAGAATTACATCTTTTCGATTGTCTCCATAGAAAAATTTTCTAAATTCACTTTTTTTTTGGTCGATTTTATACACTTTTTTTTCTGATAAAATAAATGCAACTGTTAAGTAACAAATTTTTTTCGCTTCATTGATAAATTTAAAATGATAAAAATAATCTCAAAAAAAAACTTATAATTATTGGCTGCTAATTGTTGATCAAATTAATCGCTAAGGATAAGTGTCGCTTAAACGCTTCGATTATAATTCTTTTATTGGATTTAATACCTTTCGTTGAATTTAGCACCATTTTAAAAAAACTAAAAAATTAATGAGGAAATGCAACAATAGATATCGCCTAAATTAGAATTTTATCAGTGTGATAGCCAAATTTATCAGTGCGATTCATATTTTGGTAATCTACGTTATCAGCCATTTCTTTCTTAAGTTCTTTTGCAAAATAATTTTGTGGTGGTGGTAATTCGTTTTTTGAAACAAATACTTTCAAACTTACTCTTACTCTTCATTTTCATTTAAAATTTTTCTATACTTTAAAATCACTTTTTAAATTTAACATAAATACTTTCAAATCAATTTTAAAAAACAGAACAACCGAGTGACTATTGCTATTAAACTATTAAGCACCATCACTTACAATTGACCTATTATTTAGAATTTCCAGTACCATCGGCGACCGACCTATTTGTACTTACTTCTATTGTTGATTGATATAATTGGGCGATCTAACCAGTACTAATGAATAGCCAATTTTTCCGCGATATTTTTATATAATAAAAAATGGTTTAATGATTTTTTCTAGTTCAGTTATTTTAAGCATATAAAAAAATTCTGAAACGATCTAAAATTTTTGAAAATTTCCCTAATGAAATTCTTTTTGCACATTTCTCCTCGAAAGAATTCCCAAATAAATTTCTTATTACGACAATTATTAAATTTTTCTCAAGCAAAAAATACTTTTGGTCATGAATAATGACATAATTAAATTTAATATATGGAATAAATTCAATAATAAAATAAAATGTTGTAAAGTGGTTAGAATCAATGAAATATTGATTATTTGTTAAATGATTCGACATATTTCAAAATTTATCAAAATTAGAAAATTTGCAAAGAAATCAAGAAGAAATATTAATTCGAAGATATTCCCATTGCTCAGACGAATTTATTGTCAACCAATTTTTATAGCTTGAATAATAAATATAAAGATTTCTTCTTATTTTAGAAATTCTGAGCAAAAAATTGATAATAATCGTTAATAATTAAACTGAACAATTATCCAAAAAATAAAAAAATCCATTACGAGTTTCAATTATTCATTTGTTGTTTTAATAAAACTTACCAACTTGAATATCAACAACAATTAAATAAGAAAAGCTAAAAAAATTTAAATCACTTTTTCATGGAGTAAAGTCAGGATATAACAAAAAAAAACTTATGAAGATGAATTTTTCCTTCCTCATGGCAGATGAAGGAATAAAAAAGTAAAAAGATGATATCAAACCAAAAAAAGAACAAAATTTTAAATTCAATATAAATATACAATTAATGTAAATGACCTTTATCACACCAAAACATTACATTTTGAAAATTACATTTCGTTGGATTTAATGAAAGAACTAAAAACGGATGAAGGAATAGCACGCGTCTCAATATCTGGAATTATATTATATTATTCCAACAAATTTGTTTGTTAAATTCATTCAAGAAGAATCTAAATGTCAATCGGAGACCATTTTTGCTATGGCAAATCGCCCAATCATTTAATAAAATTTTTTAAAGGATTCTTGAAATTATTACCAAATATTTTCGAAGATACCTGGTTGAAATATGTGAAACACTTTGGATAAAAATTTAAATTTAACTAACCCATTATGTTGTTTTCCTCTCCTATATCATCGTCAATATTTATTTCATCAGGATTTTCTGTTACGTTTTCCTCTACAGTTTTGCTCTCTCCACGGACAAAACGTATATTACCTCCAGAAATCGATGTTTTAGCACCAACTGATTCGGCAAGTTTTTGCGCTTGTGCTTCCAATTTGGCCATGCTGTCACCAGCTGTTCCTGCTATAATTAAGAAAAAAAATTCTTCTGACATATTTTTATATCTTGATTGATAATGCTGCAGTAAAACTCACGTTCGGTAATTAATCCGATGTCACCACTTGTTGCCAACATTTGTGCACTCATAATATTCACACTAGTATTGTAAGTTGCACGTACTGATCGCTTAACACGCAACATTTCCCTCACAGTTTCTTCATTTCCATGCTCCATTTCAAATTTTTTCCATACTTCCCAAAATTGATCCTCGTATATCTGGAAATAAGTTTCCATGAAAACTTTGAAAAAAAATATAAGCAAAAAATAAAATAAAAATATAAATACCAAAAAAGGTGAGGATTAGAAAAACCTTTTCTAAAAATCTAAATCTAATTTAGGCAAATCTCTGGATAATTATGAAAGGAATAATCAAAATTTTACTCGTGGATCACATATTTCACTGCAATGAGCATAAATCGCTCTCGCTCGATCTATTTCGCCTAATTTTTGTTCCAATTGAGCGTATCGCATACTCATTTCCCTAAAAAATGCTTTTGCTTAAAAATTTCTTCGTCAAATAATCGTTATTTATTTTCTGCGATTGATTTTTAAAAAATGAAAAATGTTAGTATTACCTTGATTCATCTTCAGGCAATATTTCAATTGCACGCTCAAATATGGGTCTTGTCGATGTCATACCAAACAAGCTTGTTGCTCTTTTGATATAAATATTGAAAATCTAAAAATTTACATAAGGTAAATTCATTCCAAAAAAGAAAAATTAATTCAAGACATGCAAAATTATTTTTCCATTAATAATTTTTTAAAATAAAAAAGGAAATAATGGAAAAATTCAATAAAATCAATATTTTACAAAACTAATTATTTACAAACTAATTATAATTATTTTTATTTTAATCTGATTACTTCATTATATTTATTTTTTTATAAAATTACATACTTTTTCATTTTTTATTAACTTTTATTAACTTCTAGAAATGAAAATGCTTTCTACTTATGTTCGATATATATTTTCTACGTTATAAAAACAACTGCAAATAAATTTCTGATCAATAATGAATTAACAAAAAGAAAGGTGCAATTCGACAACAGAAATTCGAACCTTATAAATTTCATGCTTTTCAACAGCAGTCGTTGCTCGATTGTAAATATTCATCGCACGACGAGGTGAACCGTGTTCCTCCTCCAACATTGCGTAAAGAAGATAGAATTCTAAAAATATATTCAGTAATCAAAAAACGAAAAACCAGAAAAATCCATTTTATAATCGAAAACATTTAAATAAAATATTTTTAATATTTAATATTAATATTTCGATTAAAATTTATTAATTCCTTATCTTGTTTACCAGATAGTAATCAACTTTTAACTTATGAAAAAATTTTACTCATCGCGAATTTCGGTGGACATGCTTCTAAACACTGTTCAAATAGATCTCTGGCTCGTTCTAACTTCTTAGCACCCTAAAATCTTTTTTAAATTTTTTGATGATTTTGATAGAATTCATAAAAATTCACTTTAATAAAAATAAAGTATTAAAAATAAAAACTATTAAACTATTAAAACAAACTATTAAAAAGAAAGATATTTAAAAAATTAATCAAATAAAATAATATGAACATGCATTTTGCATTGGAAAAAATTATAGAAGACATTCAAACACAAAACTTACGTATCGCTTAATAAATTTAACCAAATACAGAGACCATATTTCGCCAACGATAGGCCATTTGAATAATGCTATACCTTTTTCGTACGCCTGAACAATTCAACTTTTTTTCTTACTTTTCTTTTAATTTCGCTTATAAGCATTAGTAAAATAAATTTAATGTCAAATAGCAATTAATATTAGTTACAAATAAAAATTAAAAATGGAATGTCAAATGAAATTACCAAAAATTACAAACAAAATCATATGTCTAAAAAAAGAAAAGAAAAAGAAAAAACAGGCAAACTGTAGACGCGAATCGTCTTTTTGGTCAAATATTAATTTTAAATTATATTTTCTTCTAGTGGCAAAAGAACATCGACAAAATATTACAAGTAAAAGGTAAAGCTAATTTTCGACACTAAATGTAATAAATAAAAAAAATTTGTAGAAATTTTAAAATTTGTTCGTAGAAATTCTAAAATATTCCAAAAAAAGCGTAGAAGTAACAGCAGAATAAAAATATAATAGAAATAATAGAAATAAAAAATAATACCTTAAAAGAATGTTCGAAATAATTATTTTCCTCAAGAAAATTAGCAAAATTTAGGATAATTTGGGGTGTAACAATTTGCAAATCAATCATTCGCTCATATACGGCTTTACATGATTCAAAAGTTCCAGTGGCCTCTTCAACGTCAGCATACAAAGACCATATCTAAAATGTCAAATTGATCAAATTAAATAATAATGCATTCACACAAACCTATGTGGTATATTCAACTGAGAATTTCTATATTATATTATGAAAATTAAATTTCAACACGAAACCGACTTTAAGAGACTTGTAAACACGATTTTGTGCTGGTTCATTTTCGTCAAAATAATGTCCCCGACGAGGTGGTATTGCTGTAGCTCTTCGCAGTAGTTTTCTTACTTCCATCAACTCTCTAAAAATTTTTGAATATAGAACTTAAAAATTCATGAGTTTAAAATTCATGGGTTTAATGATGAAAAACAATTAAATAAGTCCCCAAAATTAGATTAAAAATAAAAAAAGCTTGGCGAGAGAAATCTCAAACCCGTGCCGCAATTCGAATTCGACATATTCACACCAGACTGAAGCAAGATCAGCAACATCAATGTAATCACTTTGCAATCCTCTTTCAAATATAATTCGAGCCTTTAAATTAAAAAACTAATTTTCATTTATGAGCCATTTTTTGAAAGTTCGAACTGAAATCGTGGCAAGAAAATTCATAAGCCAGCTAATTTATAAGCAGCCAGCTAATTTTAAAAAAAACTTTAAATTTTAAAAAATTTTAAAACTTACATTACTGATATCGTGGTCATTTTCGTAAAATTTCGCAAAACTAATCCAAATATCAGAAAGTTTGCTTGTCCTTAATTTTGGATCCACTGTTTTAACAGCCTCCTCATAGGTTTCCATCTGCTAAAATAATGAAAACTGCAAATAGACAAGGACTTTCAAAAAAATTTGCTGGAATTTCTAAAATCTCACCTTTGATTTGTTACCTTCATATAAATGCACTCGATTCAACCACTCACGAGCATTATGAGGATTTTGTCTAAGTAGAACACTATTCAGTAACATTGGTCTTCGATCCATAAGATATTCAAACCTATTAAATAAAAAGTAATAGGAACTATAGTGTTTGCAAAAAGAAACAACATTTTTCAAAAAAACATTGATTCGCAAAAAACTGTTCATATCATGGTAATAGGAAATGAAAACCTCGCAAAATTCAGCTCAAGTTCAAGTTCATCGTCTCCCTTGTCTTCATTACCGGAAGAAGTACTAAGCATATCCATTTTAGTAGCAACTTCACGTTCGACGAATTTAGCATAAGCATCAAAAATTTGAGTAAAATCTCGAACTGTCTTTACTGTAACGATCGCTTCTTCATAAATATCGCGAGCCTAAAAAAAATTTAAAAAATAAGAATGCAAATGAAGTATTCGTAATATTCAAAATGATGAAAATGATGATATATTACATCTCTTTATTGTTTTTTCCTTACATATTATATTCTTCATTTTTTATTCTTTCTTCTAATCATCTTAATCTAAAAAAGATTCTCTAAAAAAGATTTTATAGATTTTATATTTTTTTGAATTTTTGTTATATTTTATACTTATATTTATATATAATTTTTCTACTACATTTTATATTTATTTATATATTATGCCTTTATATTTTTTAAATATTTATTTAATTAGAAAAATTCTAATTAAATAAACAATTCTACTTAAATTGTCAAAAATTTAGAAAACTTTAATTAATTATAAGAAATTAAGAAAGAAAATTATAGGAAAATAAATATAAAATTTCTTAAATAAAAATTAAAACAAAAAATACTTTTACCCTTTCAAAATGCCCTGAACGTATATAATATTCAGCCAGTGAACACCATAGAATTCCGATTTGATCACTGTATCTACAAAAACGTCTCAGTTATAAAAAATATTTATTCATTTAACCAAGAAAGAGAAGTGGAAGGAAATTTGGCCCTATAAAAAAACAAAAACAATAAAAAAACAAATAGGTCGAACAATTTTCAACATGTTACCGCTTTTACAGTATTTAAGATGATAAATTAATTTTTTCATCAAATTTTCGACAAATTTAAGACTTAAAAGGACGTAAGAAACAAACCGCTGTATTCCTTGCCGTATAATAGCATCAACGTTTAAAGAAAAAATTTTCGTAGGATTTCTCGAAATTAATTCACAAAGTTCAATCCACAGCTTTAATGTGAACAATATGACATATAAAAACATAAAAAAATACCGAAAATATAAAACATTTTTGAAGAATTTCTAATAATAAAAAATAAACCTGGTGGGAAGTTTTTCCATGTTCCGACACGACTTTATCATCATTAACTAAGACAATTAACTCCATAGCAGCATCATTGAGACGATCTACCTTGTATAAGTATGCAATAAAATCTTCGCGATATTTTGGAAACACCTTCAGACAACTGAAAAAAATTTCTTAAAACCTCGATTTTTTTGAAAGATCTTTTGAAAAGCCAAAAAAATGGGCATAAGAAACAAACCGCCGATAAACACGGATAGCAGTTTCAGGGATGTTGTGTTTTATAATAAATTTGATGTATAATGGCCATATACGCTCGTGCTGCGTAATGGGTAATGCACGTAAAGCTCTATCAAAAGCAATGCGAGTTTTAGTGATATAGCCTTGCAAAGTCAAAAATTCACAAAAGTCTATCCAAATACGGGGCATCTAAAAAAATTTTTATAAGAATTTGATAATTAATTTTCAAAAAATATGAAATATCAGTTAAAAATGTAAAAATGAGAAAATCAATGGTAAAAAAACCTTATGCATGAAAACCAAAGCCCGTTCATAAGCATTATTGACATGTTCATACGATGGATCGACAGGACATTTGTCTGAAACTTGACTTCGACGAAAACGAAGATAACTATACCTGTAATATGCAAAAGGATTAAAAAGGATAATTTTTTTTAAAATGCAGGGCTAAAAATAAGTATCTATGGAGAATTTCATGAATTTCAGTTTCCTTGAGCTTCAGTTACAGATAAGAAACTATCATAAATATATCATGTCAATAACGATGAAACAAAGGAGCAGCATTAAAATAAGGATCTGCCAATTTTTCTTTTTTTTCATATAATTTTTTACTAATTCGTTTTAACCAAGAAAATAAAAATATAAAACCAAATTTTTAGCACCCTAAATAGTAATCTTCTAAAAAATTTCTAATTTACCTTAAAATAAAAGATTTACTTAATTTATTTTTTATCGCTTTAAGAGCTCAAAAATATAAATGAAAGCACACCAAAGCTTATAACTGCCCGGAAGTTCTTTTAAAGCCCTTTCATAAACGATATTTATACGTTTCGCGTTAGATTTCTTCGATTTCTTCTTATGTTCGATGTACCTTATCCAGCTTCGCAATGAATATGGATTTCGAAGTAAATCCTCTTCGAAACCAATATCTTCTTCTTCCTATAATAAAAATAATACAAATTATACGAAATTTAATGGTTTTTCCTTCATAAATTATATAAATTAACATCAAAAAATAATTAAAAATGTTTCGAAATATTTCGAAATTTTTTTATTAAAAATTTTCAAAATTGTAGAAAGATTGTAGGGAACCACTCCATTCTTTCTCATATTCTCTAATATAATTTTTGATAATAAAAAATATTAAAATTTTCTGGCAAATATTAAAGAATAATTAATGATTCAGTATTTTATAAAACTAATAAATAATTGTTTAAAATTATTTATAAACAAATATTTATCATTCGGAACAGTTAAATATATAAATATGAATGAATGAACTAAAGAAATTTTTGAAGAAAAGTTATGTTAATGTATTTATGGTTAATTGCTGCAAAAAAAAAGAAACTAACCAAAATAATATCATCGACCACTTTTTTAGTCTCATCAAAGTTTTCTTCCTGAGTAAAGGATGAAGACGCTACTGCCATTGTTAATAAAACTGAAAATAAATAAATGTTATAAATATAAATAATATAAATATAAAAAAAGAGATAAAGAGAAAGAATAAAGATAATAAGATAATAATAATATTATAATAAAGATAAAAAATAAGTAAAATCGTAGAGACTAACAAAATAAGAAAGAGGGCACCAACCGGTATTTTCAGCAATTCATGACAATCAAATCGCATCCTAAGGGCCAAGGAAACTAGAGAAATCAGTAAGAGTGCCGTTAAAAAAAAAATTTCCCATTATTTCACATCCTACCTCATTCCGTATCGCCTTTTCTTTTATTTTCTAGAGAATACCCACAAAATCAATTCCATTTGTTTCCTTAGTTTTTGACTAGTATAATGGTTCTAATTTGCCCAGCTAGGGCTATTCTATTCAGTATGATATCAGATCGAACGGCTTGGCTTCACCGGCCTCACTTTGCAAATAGCGAAGTCAGCTTAGCAATAATGGCGCAGGCTACAAGAAAAAATAAAAAGAGTAAAGAGATGAATTAATTTACTGATAAGGAAGTCCGACAAATGGAAAAAATATAAGGAACAAATGATAACATGTAAAAATAAAGAATAAAGTAAAATAGAACTTATCAATATGAATTTCATTCAACAAGTATACCCTTTATAAAGGATTTCCATGATTTCTTCATTTTAACCTTTCAATTTAAAGTCCAAAAATCTACCTAACTATATTCCCATCAAATTCCAAACAAAAAAAATGTCGAAGCCGTATTCGAATTCGTTTTAGGACGACAATTAGCATGTGGTATGCGCTACTATTTTGCAGCTTTTATTCATTTGACTCGTTTGAGCTGAAGTTTAATCATTTCTCTCAACATTTATGAATAGTCTGGTCCAGCGGGTGGTTAGTGTGGCTAAAAGTTCTCGTCAAGTAGGTTTCCATTTGTTAGTGGGACTTAGGCTTTTTTACGTCAGGTTTGTGCATGCAGAATCGGAACTCTCAAGCTGGTGACGATCTAATCTAAGACCTACAATGGCCCACTCGGCTATTTGTAGTAAAATTTGGCACTTGTCGATTATCTGATTAGAAGGGTATCGCATTAATGTTCAGCCAGTTTTATATAAGTAATTTTCTTATTTTATAACTTTAATTTATGGCTTATCAGATGACTGAATACTAATTGATTTCTAAATACGATTTATTCATTCTTTACATATAAACAGTTTAGTGTGAAGTTAAAATAAAAAATAAATAAATATTAATTTTCATTCATATTTAAAAAAAATGAATGAAAATTTTGTTTATATTCAGGATTTTCTATCATTTTCAGCAGTTTATCATTGATAACTACTGATAAGTGATCACTGATCACTAATAATTTTTTCATAGTTGAAAATTTTCAACATTTACAATAATTGATAAAACAACTCGAGTGAGATGATTTTCTTATGGTATTAATCATAGCAAACAGTTGCAGTACCAAATTTAAAGCATCTTCTCGACAATGATTTTGTAATGGGGCATTTTAAAACACATTCGGCTTTCGACGAGTTTTTACTAGCCAATTTAAAGCCACGAGCAATATCACATCGACATATTCGACAAAATGGTTTCATGCATTTGAATTTATTATACTGTACTGGTTTACCGTCTAATTCTTCTTCGATTCGAACACCATTTGGATATTTTATAATTGGATTACAGATTGGTACTTCATGAACGTTTCCTCTTCGAAGAACCACTAATTTTTCGCTGATACGACATTCGCCTGCAAAATTCATTTAATTCATATATTTATCCTGACGATTTACACCATATTTTTATGTTAGAATTTGGTTATACGGTTTTTAAATTCTTCCATCAAGGAAGGATAGCAATTAAAAGCCGTCATACTTAATCTCATTGAAAACGATATAATACTCGATCGAGGTGCGTCGGTGGCCCAATGACAAGCTAGTTCTCACCGAGAATCGAGACTTGGGTTCAAAATCCAAATCGAAACCCACCGACACACCAGCCTTCATCGAGTTGCACTGTCGCCTAAAACAGAAGGTAATAAGGAGAATAGAATGGCTCAGTGGTTTGTTGCTAAATTCGGAGCTCTAATGCTGAAATTCTATTTCCGGCAAGAGTAAAAAACCTGTCCAAAAATTCGGATGAAATATGCGATTCATCTGTACTTTTATCGCCAAGGAACCCCTTGGCATATTTGTCCAGTCTGATAAGCAAGCGCAGCGAGTTTAATCAGAAATGTTGTAACTCTTAAAAAAGTTCTGATATAGTCTTATCAGATAGGAAATCGAATTAATGTTGAATAGTACAATCATGATAAAGAATGAAAAAGGGAATGTAGATTTAAATACGGGCTTAGGTATAGGTTAATTATCATATGATAATATATGATTATAACATCTACATATTTCTTTATAATTAATAATTGAAAATAATTTGATTCCAAATTTACTGACCTTTCACTTTACCAATAACTAGTAAAACGATCCAAACGAATTGAATAGAAAATAGAAATACCTAAATTGAGTAATAAGTAATAAAGATAAGAATGGTGCTGATTGATATTCATTGATATTCAAATTGGTCATTGATAATTATCTACTGATAACTTTAACCAATGTAACTTATTCACTAATCAAATTAATCTAATCACTCCAAATTGAGCAACAATTTGGCTAAATAGCAAATTTCTTTGCTAAACGAATATGATGGATTTAGGAGAATTAAATTAATCTAATAAATATTTTTTAAAGATTTAAGAAATTTTTTTTCTTCGAACCGTATTTAGTTTCATTGATCGCAAATAAAATATAAATAGAAATTTCAAAATATTACAAAATTTCTTGGATTTTTGTCGCAATTTTCCTGAAATTATTTTAAAAAAATAATCTACTAAAAATATTTTTTCTCAATAAATTGAATTTTTTTCATAAAACTTTTCATGGATTAAATTTGATTATAATGCGCAATTTTAATAGAAAAATGATTTTCTCTAAATAAAAATAAATATAAATAAATAAAAGTAAATTTAATTCAAAAAAAAGAAAATATTGAAATAATTCGGATATTCGATAAAATCGTTGAGAATTTATGAAGTAATAAAGTTATTGGTGTTTAACCTTCGAAAACAGCTGATATTTCGTTTTATTTATCTCAAAATATAAAATTTATTTTTGATTTAAACGTTAATTGTCTTTCAGAGAATTGGTATTTTGCGAAAATTTCTCAATATTTTATAAAATTTAAAAAAGAAAAAATTAAATCTATTTTCCGCGAGGAGTAGAATCTCGGCATTGGCGCTCCGAATCGAGTAAAAATCCACCGAGATATACTACTCTCCTTTATTTTTCTCATTTAGCCGATATTGTCACCAGGTGAAGAAGAATGGTGCATCGACTGGATTCGAACCGTTTTTGAAAAAAACCTCTGGGGATTTTTTAAAAGAATGAAAAATATTTTTTGATAATATTTTCTAAAATACCATACAAATTAAAATTATCAATGCAAATGATCAGATTCGCGAAAATTTTCCAATAAAAAATCTTTATTTTTATTTAAGCTTTAAATTTAGTTGTTTGAAAGAATTTACGATCACATTTATCGTTTAATAGGAGCAAATTTTACCACTAAAAATGAAATCTGAGTGGTACTATGGTTCCATTTCTCAGAGTTCTACCTTCAAATGATTCTCTGATAAAAAGATTTCGTCCTAATAAATCCTTTGGAACCAACTAAAAGAACTAAACTAAAAGAAGAACAATAGCCTATTAGCTGTTAGCATTTTGTCTCTCGATTTTTTAATAATAAAAGATTATATGATAAATGATAATTATAAAGAAACAAAATTATATAAAAATTTCAATATCGCCTTTATAAAAAAATAATTATTTGGCCAATTTGAAAAACTAAAAAATAAATAAATTTTTTATGAATATTTATTTTATTTTTTTATTCATCTCAAATAATTATTTCACTTTAATCAAATAAGTTATAAATTATAATTACAAAAATAAATTCAGAGTAGCAATTTTTTTCATTAAGTAGATTTCGAATTTTTTTCAAAAAATCCAAAAAAAAATTCACAAAACGAGAAAATTTTTTTAAAAGCATCAGACTAATCAAAAGATATTACACAGCAAGCCAAAAAAAAATGATCTGAAAAATAATGGAAAAATGAAAAAGGAAAGATAGAGAAGATTGACTGATGCAAAGATTAGCATATAACACCATATTTATGATGAAAACATTGCGGTGATATAATTTTTGTCACCGGACAAAACCTAGTGCAAACTGCTGTAGCGGAATCATTGGAAAGCATAAAACCACGCTCCACATCACAACGACAACGATTACATATTAATCCATCACATCTGAACCGGCTAATTTTCATTGGACCCGTTATATCAGTCTTTTTTTGACCATTTGGATATAAAGTCACCGGATGACAAATAGAAACATTGTGTGTCTCGCCCGATTTTAGTCGTACGAGTCGTTCAGATGGATCGCAAACTAAATTTAGTCTAAACTAAATAATAATAAATTTTGACGATAAATATTCATTAAATTTTTAAGAAATAAAATAATTTTTAGATCGAATATTTTATCATCATTATTATGTTCATTTAAAAAAAAAAATTCGTTTAAAAATCTTTTTGACAAAAATCATTTAAAAATCGTATCTTTTCTAAAAATTTATTTAATTTTAAAAAATAGAATTTTTTCATGTCAATTAACTGATTAATTGATAAAATTTATCAGAAATTAAAAAAATTTTAAAAATTTTTCTATCCATTAAAACATTTTTAATCGAATAAATATTTGTTATTTATTTGAATATTTAATATATGAATATTTGAATTCAATAAAAAATATTTATTTATTTATAAAAATTTTTTTTTTGACATAAAAAATCTAATTTTGGGATCTTAGAAATTATTAAATGTATATTTATATATTAATTGGCAAAAGTCGAATAGTTTCAAATCGTTCTTTTTTGTAAAATGATTTAATTACCTTTTTTTTATAGAAAAATGATAATAAAAAAATAAAATTACTTTTGCCAAGCAGTACAATTCGCATTTGTAAAACGCTGAAGATTATTAAAAACTGAAAAAAAAAAATAATTTTTTTTAACAGAAATAATAATTTTTTTTAACAGAAATAAAATATAAATAATAAAAATAAAAATGAGAAATTAAAATTAAAAATTTCAATCATTTTTTTCCCAATTTTCAATTAAATATTATAGAAAATTATTATTATTTTTAAGGTGAAATATGTGCGAAAAAAAATGTGAAAAAAATTGGACTGAAAATTTTCAATAACTTTAAAAATTATTCAATCGATTATTGTGGAATTTTTTAAAAAATAATAATAAAAAAAATGAAAAGAGGGCAATGAAGCAAAAAATTTTTTCACGGATAATTTATTTTGGAATGCAAAAAAAACTTACGAAAATAATATTTTTTATTGAATTCATATTCGCTGAACAAAATAATGAATTATTTGAATCGGATTATTCTAAATATTAAAAAAATTATAAATTTTATTGATAAATATAAAAAATATTAAATTAAATTAAATTAAAAATTAAGAATATTAAAAAATAATAAAGAATTTTAAAATGTGGCTATAACGATTGGATAAGAATTCTTCATCAGAGATTTGTAGAGAGGCGATTTGTAAGGATAATGGTGAATGCCAAGTACCACTCGAATTTTACTGACACCAGGTTTATTACCCTTAAGGGACATCTCTAAGGGACATCTAACCCAGATTTCACCTCCACTTCCAGGTTTGTTTCCATTGAGGGACATCTTTAGTACCACTCGAATTTTACTGATATCAGGTTTATTACCCTTAAGGGATATCTCTAATGCCACCCAGATTTCGCCTCCACTTCCAGGTTTGTTTCCATTGAGGGACATCTTTAGTACCACTCGGGTTTTACCTCTAATACTAGGTTTTTTCCCACCGATGGACAGCTGAAGTACCACTCGAGGAAAAGAACCAAACCAACGATCGTTTCATCTAATAGCGTATTTAGTCAAAAGAAATATTAAAGATTTTATTATACTTATTATTATTATAATTGTTATTACTATAATACTTTTTAAGCCAATTCAGAATAATTATCAAAAAATATTTCTTTAAAGCAAAGAAAACTGATTCGTCCAATTTATAAGTGAAATAACAAAACAACTGCGAATAAAAAAATTTTAAACATAAAACTTCCATCATTTATCACTAACTTATCACTTATTATCAGTTTATTAAGCACTTTGAATTTCTAAGCGATAATTCGTCAAAGCCGACAATTAAAAGAATAAAATTTCGATTGGCAAAATGGGTTTATCGAAACGGCCGATTTTTGCCACCTAAGAAAGCTATCAAATCTCGAGACCGGGAAATGCGATGGGAAAAGGAGGTTAGGGTAAGTAAAGCAAGTTGCGAGGTAAGTTGAGGCTAGAACAAGTTGTAAGGTAAGGTAAGTCGAGGCTAAGTAGGTTGTAGGATATGGTAAAGCAAGGTGAAGTGGGTCGTAGAGTAAAGCAAGTAGTAGAATAAGGTTAAGCAAAAGTAGATTGGAATTAAATAAGGTGAAGTGGACTGTAGGGTAAAGTCAAGTAAAGTGAAGTTGTATTATTATCATTATTCTTATCATTATTGTTGTTATTAATTATTGTTATCAAAAATCATTGTTATTATTTTTATCATTATTGTTATTTTTCTTATTAATTATTGTTATCACCAAATTATTACCAATTTATTATCAATATTATTATCGCTATAATTATTAATTATTATTATTAGTAACTATAACGCATAAAATATATGAATATTGTTAAAATAATTGGTAATAATCAGTAATATTCGTAACATCTAAAATCTTTAACATATAAAATCGCTGCAAAAAATCTCTTCGGAATTTTAATTTTAAGGTTTTTTTGCATAAAACTATTAAGTATAAACGAAAAAGTGCTAAGACAATTAAAACAATATTTTAAATAATTTTTGTTTAATTTTGTTTTTAACAGTTAATTTGGTCGATTTTTCGCTTATCAGATTCTATTATCAGATTTTAAGTAATCGTAGCAATGATTATGATTATAACAAATAGTTTATATTCTCTGAAAGGGTCCATTTTGTCCATTTCATTCAACGATTCTCTCCGCTGAGAGAGTACTTTTATCAGTCTTCGTAAATAATCTTGCATATCCTTTTCGTTGATAAAAAAATGGTGATTTTCACATTTATCAATAACAATCATACTTTTTTATACTTTAAATTTCGAGCATTTTAAATTTTATCAGTTTTTATCAGTTTAGTGGGCTTTGTTTGTAAAATATTCTTTTTCAGATTGTTTATTATTAAAATATATTTTCGAAAAAAAAGATAGAAATATAATAGTGGTGAAATATCTTTCTCGTACTTTAGCTTTCTTTATTGTGTTAACTAATTGTACTATTTTTTACTGTAATTTATAATAGATAAGAATATAGAAAGTGGACGAACTTACAGCTGGGATACTAGAATGCTTTCTTTGTACTGGGAGTTACTACCAAAACCTCTCTATTTATTTGCATTGTGAAGCTGTACCTGCTAAAAGGCCGAGAAACGCGGTCAATGGTAGTGAGAGCCTATCCACCTCTATGCGTTCTTGCTAAGAATGGCCAGAATCTTATATGACTGCATTCAGCTTCGCTCGTCTGTTCTATTAGAACCTTCACAGATTATCGTCCAGTTGAGTAATGGTTATTGTCACTCATTATTGTAATTAAGACAAAACTTGCTGCTAGTTCTAGCAGCTCTCACTATTATCATTATTATTAATTATTGTTATTGGTTAGATGACTAGCTGTAAGAGCAGGAAAAGAGCATTTCTAAGCTGCTGAAACCTACGCCATCAATATAATACATTGGAAATAATAAAAGTCATTTTCCAGTCTTTTTCCATCGTCTAAATCCATATGCAACACTATAAGTCGCTGCTCGTCCTATAGGTTTAAGGCTTTTTTCCTAACTGCGGTCCAAATCTTGATTGGTCCGAGTAGTTGATGAATTTGGCCCGACGAAAATGGTTGATATAATTACCACTTTTCCTTTTTTTTCACCTTTCAAAACTGTTTTTCATAAGAAATTTTTATTAAATTTTTATTAAGTTTGATGTTGAAAACCTTAATAATGAAGTTTGGTATTTTCAAATTTCCTTCTGATTACAATATTTAATCCAATTTCTACCAATTTTTTTTACTAAATTTATTTTAATATGCATTTGCTTTATAAAAAAATTGCTTTATTTAAAAAATTTTTCATTATTTGTAAAAAAGGAAAGTATTTTAAAGTTTATCAGTTCGATTGGTTTTCACATTCTGGCATTCTGCTCATTCATAGAACAAAGTTGTTTTTCAAAAAACTGTTAGATTGTAATAATAATTGCCTATTTTCTTGATTTTTCAAAATTTTACTTCGGAATTTTCACAATTTTTTTATTATATGATTAGTGTAAAATATTGTAAAAACTGACGAGACAATCACCTTTAATTCGTAAATTATATTAGAATATTCGTAAAACAAAAAAGTATAGAAGGAAGACGCCAAACATCAATTCAGTAATAGTTTGGAAATAATAAAATTTAATTTACTGCTAAATAATCGACGCTATTTTAAGAAAATTTTGGGGTTATATTTAGTATGAAAATAAAAAAAGTGAAAATGAAAGAAATTATAAAGTTTCAACGAAATAGCATAAGGAATTTTAGTCAATCATAAAATTATAAAAAAATCATTTGCTAAAGATTGAAAGTTTTGAAGGTAAAGCGATAGGAGCCACGCTAATTATGGTAATGCGAATATGGCAAAAATGATTGAGGAAAGGATTTTTGTGAATGAATTCTTAACGTCGAAATAGCGACAAAATAGCGAAATCGAGAAAACAGCGATATCGACAAAATAGCGAAATGTTTTTTGGAAGAGGCACAGCCGTATATGAAATGGAATTAAGCCTTGAATGTAAATTCATTAATACTCTGAATGAAAATATTTAAAAAATGCAAAAGCCATTATTAAATTTCAACGAAATTAGCAATTAGCAAAAACACTTTGTTTTAATCGTAAAATTATAAAAAATTTGTTTACCGCGAGTTTTGAAGGTAAATCGATAGGAGCCACGCTAATTATGGCAAAAATGGCTGAGGAAATAAATGAATTCGATTTGAAACGCAGAATATTTAGTATTTTTAGAACGCTGGAAACTGATGGTTTTCAAGGTTTCCACGATGGACTTGCCAATCCAATTTTTCCCATATTTTCGAATTCATTCGCAATTTGGTAAAATTACACTAATCCACTAATATTTTAATCATTAAGAATGGTTCCAAGTGAACTATTTTATTTCTTTGTATCCGATCTTTTTCTGCTGATTAATGAATATTAAAGAATATTTGTTATTCCATATTTATTTTAAATTATATATTTATTTTTGTAATATTTATTATTTTTACGGTTCTTAAAGATATTTAAATATTTAAAGATATTTAAATATTATAAATTATAATGGATTTATTAAGGCCATTTGTTTTATTGATAAATCGCGTTTCAATTTTCGAATCGCGTAAGATTACCTAAGAAAAAAGAGAAACGTTTACAAAAGTTGTTTTTGTCGTTAATTATGAAAAGGACTAAAATTAGCCTCAATTTTTGGCCAAAAAAATTATCAAATTCCTCTATTTTATCAATTTCGTTATTTGCTAAACCGTGTGATGGTTGGCATCAAAAGCGAAATAGGCCAATCAAGACCTGGTCTGATACGGTGAAAAAGATTTTGAACATATAGGTGGACCAGCAATATATGGATTTAGACGATGAAAAAGGAATGGCTTCCATTACTGTCGACGATATCATCAGACCGCTCTGTTCGGAAGCGTCTTACCCTTGTAGCCGTTGAAGCCAGCCTAACAAGTAATGGCGAGAGCTTAGAAGAAGAAGAAGATTTTATCAATTTGTAATAAATAAATTATAAAATTTATTAAATTCGCTATAATATGATAAATTCACAAGTCACAAGGCAACTTTTTGTATTCCTTCAGCATTAAAATCTGACGAACAATTTCCATCCAGTTTCTTTCAAATATTTCTTGACTTTTCAACAACTTTTTAGGCAATAGCCAATCTTCGCGATCTTTTTCGATTGGAACGCAATAAATTAGCCCTCATGAGGAGGAATATTATGATTGAAAAATATTGTTCTAACGAATAAAGCAATTTCTGAATGATTGTTTTGGTCGAAAAAATGAGGGTAAATTTGAGCTGATTTCATATTTATCAACAAAAACGATATTTTTCCTCATTTTTCTTGGGTAATCTTATTACGTCTTGCGCGATCTTACGCGACTACTTAGAAAAAAACTATAAAAATCATGCCTACGATAATCTTTTATTAAGATGACTGATAAAGCTGTTTATCATAGCAGACAGGCCAAAGTCGAGTTAATATCTCATTTTATGACTTCACAAACTAACTGTTGTTGCTACCAAAATGCGGCTCAAACAAAAAGTGATGAACATAAGGGTTGAGTGGTGTTAAGAGGTGGTGTCAATCGTTTCAGAGGTCAACGTATCATATGGAATTCGGATCACTACAGGGTTTTTTTTACAGTGGTGTGGGAAAAGAAATTTTTGTTTTGTATAGCTGATTTTTAATTTAGAAAAATATAGAAAAAATCAAAATGAAAGCGGCTTTAGCTGACTTTACTTTTTTCCTTATCAACCACTTTTTAATAAAAATTAATATTATTGTGAAAAATTTGCAAAAATTACTCGACTCACTTATCATTATGCAACTTAAACTGGTAGTCAAAATGAATTCATTTTGATAATATATGGTATTTAAATTTTTTTTTTAGAGAATTGTAAATTAAAAATTGTTTCTTGATTGGTTATCGATGCTTTGAACACCATCCATCACAATGTTTCACAAGTATCGAGGCAAATATTTCTGTGGTGGTCGATGAAGAATCTGCTCATACTACGCTTTGTGATCTTCCTAATATTTGCCATTCTCATTTGTTATGTTACTGATGGAGAAAGACGAATCTCGTACTCAATAAAGCAGAGAGAAGCGCTCTTCGTTGGCGTATCGTATTTCTGTGACGGAATTTCTACATTCAAGACTTAATTCCATTTCATATAAGGCTGTGCATCTTCCAAAAAGCATTTCGTTATTTTGTCGATATCGCTATTTTGTCGATTTCGCTATTTCGACGTTAAGAATTCACTCACAAAAATCCTTTCCTCAATCATTTTTGCCATATTCGCATTACCATAATTAGCGTGGCTCCTATCGCTTTACCTTCAAACTTTCAATCTTTAGCAAATGAATTTTTTATAATTTTATGATTGACTAAAATTCCTTATGCTATTTCGTTGAAACTTTATAATTTCTTTCATTTTCACTTTTTTTATTTTCATACTAAATATAACCCCAAAATTTTCTTAAAATAGCGTCGATTATTTAGCAGTAAATTAAATTTTATTATTTCCAAACTATTACTGAATTGATGTTTGGCGTCTTCCTTCTATACTTTTTTGTTTTACGAATATTCTAATATAATTTACGAATTAAAGGTGATTGTCTCGTCAGTTTTTACAATATTTTACACTAATCATATAATAAAAAAATTGTGAAAATTCCGAAGTAAAATTTTGAAAAATCAAGAAAATAGGCAATTATTATTACAATCTAACACAGTTTTTTGAAAGACTTTATTCTATGAATGAACAGAATGCCAGAATCTTCGGAAATTATGAATGCCTTTTAAGAAATAAGCAAATTAGAGATTATTTTTGAAAAAACGATTTATTATTAAAATATTCTATTAAAATAACTGCCGATTTATAAAAATGCAACGACTAATCAAACCAAAGTATTTTCAAAATTATTTCGAAAATCGAAATTTTTCGACATTTCGTTTAATACGAATTCATTAATCATTTCGTAACGATTTTATTTAAAAAATATGAATAAATATTCATATTTTTATATTTTTATTTTTTATTTTATATTTATTTATTTTATAATTATAGAATATTTTTAGAATATTGAAAAAAAATTCTATTTCTGTAACTTACGGAACTTTTTACTATCAAAAAGTTTACTACGCGTGATTATCAGAAATGAGAATTCGCAACAGAAATATTCAGTGAATGAAATTTTAAAAAACGAATTTTCTGCGAAATGTTTATTTTCATTAAAAAAAATAATATACAGAATTATTTAATATATATTAATGGTGAAATGTTTTTCTCGCAATTTTCTTTATAAGCTTTTATTTTATTTTTTATTGAAATATATACGAATGTAGAAAAACTTCGAAAGAAAAGCTCTTATGGGTGGATGGTTATACGAAAAAATGTGGTCGCATTTTTTAATGGAACATGGAAATTACCAAGCTTTATAAAAAAGAACAATATCTTGAGCAGGCCATTCATGCAGCCGGCCAATCCGGCGGACCACCGCATATTCTAGTAACAACCAAGTGGTACCATAGAGATGAGCAAGAACAACGAATATCCATAAATCTCCAACTTGAGTTGTTAGAACAACAATGTAAAATTTTGATAGGCGCATCTGCAGCACCACTAATTTGACGCTCATTGCTTCGAAATTCCAGAAAAAAATAAAGAAAAAAGAAAGCAAAATATAGTAAATAAATATTAATATTAATATTAAATAAATCTAAAAAATAGCTAATTTTTTCAAATTCATTCGGTTTTCGTTCCCGTTAATCGTTTTTCAGTAATATTTTCAACTGAATTTTGATTTCTTAAAAAATAAAAATCATAAGCAATTCATTTCGAAATTATAAATAGCCATTTCGATTGCCAATCGAATTTCCCACAATGTTTTGCGGAATTTAGCCGAATGATGAAAAATTATAAATTAAAAATTATTTTGAAATTAAAATTATAAAATTATAAAAGATAAAATCAAAATTTTTTAATAATTTTTTTAAAATATTTATTAAATCATAATTATAATTTATCGTTCTAATCCATTTTTAACGCTTCGAATTAAATTTTTTAAATTTTTTTTAATATTTCCAACAGTTTAATTTTAATGTATTTTTTATTTCTCTAATGGTTTCAATATCTCAATTACATTTTTCAAAATTTTCTAACGTTTTTAGAGTTTCAGTCATATTTTAAAAAATTTTTCTGGCATCTTTTTTAACGCCTTTAATAAAATTTTTCCACGTCTTCTGGAGCTATTTTACACGATTCTGCGACTTAGATTCCTGCCTGATGAGGCAAATCCTTGCTTCAGTGGGTCTGGTAGTTAGTATTCGCTCTCGTGACTTGTACAGATAGTTCTTGAATAGGAGAGAGAAATCCAGATTCCATTCCTTTGAGATTACAAAATTTAATTCATTTAACCTTGATAAAGCCTAAAATCTTCGCTTAGAAAATTTTATATGGCCGCATCAAAATTAACGCGAAATTTTATGATCTTAGGATCAATTCAAATTCAGCAAAGTCGAATAGCATGAAATCATTGAAGCCCATCCATAAGACCCAACTGAAAAACCACAGTGGTGAATATACCATCACATGGTATCATTACTTGTACCACATTCCACTGAATGGATGGTTCTTGAGGATGTTTTCTACTATTCATTTATGCAATTTCAAATGTTTGTACTTATTAAAGTGGTACTTGTTTGCAAAAGTGTTGTTTTCTTATAAAACTTTAAATTTCATATCTATTGCTCGATATAAACTATTGGCCCAGGAGAGAGAGAAAGTGTTTGGTAGGACCTGCAATTTGAAAATGCCATTTGAGCGACCATTCAACAATATGTCTAGTGGCGAAAAAATAATATTTATTTGTTATGGCTTAATTTAGGAAGAAACTGTCTAATTTTTGTTTTTATTTGCAATGAACGCCCCTGGGACATTTTCTTAATAGGCTCTTAGTGTAGGCCTAGGTCGATGCCGGTGATATGAAACAGAACTGGCAATAGAACCAGGCTAAAATCTATAGGACTATATTTCCGATGAATTCCAGGCGAAAATACTGTTATGGTACTTTGAAAATTTAAATTTAAAGATAATTTTGAAACCCATATATGCGTATTGCATCAAGTAAGACCTCGCCTTTTTATAGGCCCTGATCAATATACTTTTCCATACTCTTTAAAGCACCAGTTTTCAATTAGAAACCCTTGCTAAATCCTGGTAATTCCATTGTTCTAGATAACCCACTGTTCTCTCAAATAAGCAGTGGAATAGTTCCACAACCACTGATACGCCCTCCCCTCCCCACCCTTCTTGCCAAATATTTCGTCGTCATTCTTTTCAAATGTTCAGTCCGAGCTGATAGTTAGTATAACGATGGTCGGTTATGAAATGAAAGGAGCCGAAGATTTTTTTAAACTTATTTTTAATTAGTTAATAGAATAGTCGTTGGCGATTAGTGCGGTGAAAAATTCTTGGTACCAGGGAATTAGGCGGCGATTGAAGTTCTGTTAGGTCGTTAGCACTACTCAGATTAACCAGATTTACTCGTGTCGGAATTAGGAAGCAAACTTTTGATTCTCGTAATGATAATCACTGATAATAATCTTCGCTAATCACTCGGCTATCGTGCCACCTTTTTATTAAACTTTATTACTGAATAAAATACTATAATCAAATATATTTTAATATTAGCTAATTGTGCTTGTCGAGAGAATAACATATTAAAAGTGATTTGCACCGCGTAAAGAATATCCTTAGCGTTGTCCATTTACGCGAAATAAACGAAATTATTGACGATCTTTTCTTTTCATCTTCTTTTATATTCAGAACGAATTTTATAAAATGGGTGCTGGAAATTCGTTCTTACAAAAACGCTTAAAACCGGATTTAGCATTAATCGCAAAAGGATTATATGAAGTGAGTTTCGCGGATTTGATGATTGCTGACACTAATCAAGACGATCATGGAATTTTCGCGAGGATTTTCTATCCAACTGATGTTGGTTGATGTTTGATGTTTTTAATAATTAATTTTAAATTGCACCATTTTTTTCTTTTATTTTAGTTTTTATCCATTTTAATTTATCAATTTTTATCATTTTTATTTTCTTATTGATTTTTTCTAAAAAGTTTTAGCATAAAATATTCAAATAATATAAATAAAATGTTCTCTCAGCCATTATTGTTATTCAATTTAGAAATTTAGAATTTTTTTTTATAGAAAAAAATTATAGTTGAGCGAATAGTTGAGTTTCGCAAGAATTAGAACGGTGGCAATCAGCGGAATACAAAAAGTCGTGAATTATATAACAGCGACCTTAACTTCACCTCCTAGTCTGACGAATATCCGAAAAAGTCCATTTAGTAAACTTTTCGTGTCGAAGCTGTGGTACGTAGATTCTCGCGATGTTTTTCTATTAATGAATATTAATTTATAATATAAGTATTTCATGATGTTTAAATATTCACTTAAGAGAATAACAGATTAGTAAACCTCGGTCCACTTATATTTCTATTTCCACATTTTCTGGCTTTTCTGATACGCACATCGTTATCAGTTATTAGGTACCTATTGGTCACTATAAAAGATATTTTTAGCTCTAACTCCATATTCGAGAAATAATAATTACTTCCTGTCTTAAGTAGAAAGTCTTAAAATCTTAAATTGTATTTTTTTTTTCATCATCTGAGTTTTTAACCAGTAATTTTACGAAATATGATTGGAGTTGGTGAATAACAACAACAAAAAATTTTTAAAAAACTTAATATTGGAATATTGGATTTTATTGAATTTTGAATATAATGAATATATTTTAAATTTTCAATTAGTTTTGTTAAACAGCGGTTTTTATTTATATATTTTTTTAGCAAAATTGTATATTAAACGAAGAAAATAAAGCAACTTGGTCTTTAAGAAAAGAATATGTTGATGGAATTGCTGATTTTAAGAATATATCAGCAAATAAATTACACTTTCTTAACGATTGGATCATAAGAGAACGAAGGTTTTTCTTAAATAATAAAAAATAATAAATAAAAATTGATTTTTTTGAAACGATAATTTTAAATGAGTTTTTAAATACTTTTAAGCGGGCTATACTTGCTAAGAAGATTTAATAAGATTTATGCCGTCTGTAATTATTTTTTTATAATAAATTATCTTCATTGCTTGGTGGGTTTTATCTCTTCTCAAGTCTTTGTATCACTCGAAGCCGCCTTGTTTCTCTAATTTTTCATGTGAAAGATTTTATATTATGGTTTTTCTTCAGGTTCATCATTCTTCATCAACTTGCATTTTTTATTGTCCGTCGTTGATTATTATTTTTTTGATTTGAAAAACAGGGCGACAAACGCCATAATAACTTAAATTAATAACAAATAGGGAGTAATTTAGTTATTATCGTTGTGAATCGATGGAAGATAAATGTTGCAAATGAAACGTTGGGTATCTATATAATAATAAAGTCAGCGACGGAATAGGATTTGTGTGCATTTTCCCTTCTTAATTCTCGGATTGGTGTAGTAAAATCGAAACATTTTTGGATAACATAAATCTGCATCATGATATGATCTTGGTGCAATAGTAAATTAGGTTCTTGGCTGATTTTTTATTTAAAACTTTTGACAGATTTATTTCGCTTTTTTAAATTTTTTTTCCTTCTGTTTTCTAAATATCGAAGAAAGAACTGATATAAGAGGTACTTTTTCCTGCCACCAGTTAAGTCGTGATCCTTTCTCTTTAACTGGAGTAGTTGTCATCAAAAGTGAACTTCCAGTTATGCTAAAAAAAATATTTGTCTTTTTGGGCTGTAATGAATTTTTGATGAGAAGGTTTCTCTGTAGTAATCGGTGGAGCCAGCCGAGTTATAAATGGTGAATATTGTTAGAAGAATGAATATCAGTGGCAAATATTGTTGAATGATTCAAAATTGACGAATGAAAGGGCTTTGGCTATTTTTTCGGTTAAATGCTTTATTATAATTTCAAATTAAATGGAGCGATTTTTTAGGATCAATATTGGTTGTCAGAAACCATTGTCCGAATCAAAACAGCGTTTTCCAGTTGTAATATTTTCACATGGTCTTTCCGCTTGTCGTTATTTTTATACAATATTTTGTTCATCATTGGCTAGTCATGGTTATATCATCGCTGCTATTGAACATCGGTTGGAGTTTTACCTAAATTTTTTCTCTTCTATTAATGCAAATAGTAAAAATATAGTGAAGATTCTTGAAAATGACAAACTCATTATTCAGCGATCGGTCAGCATGCTGGACCTACAAATTATATACAAATGGCACTAGCTCTAATTTAGTTGAAAAACCGATACTTTTGAGAAAGCTAGCTCCAAATGAAGATGAATTCAAGATTCGCAATCAACAAGTATTATATCTATCTGTTTCTTCATGCATTGACTCTATTTTCTACTTTCTAATAAAATTTTATTGCAACGGAAAATTGAAGTTTCTAAAATTTTTCAGCTTCATATGAGAACTGCAGAATGTATCAAATTATTTCATGTGTTAGAGGAATTAAATTTGGGTCACTGTGCACCAGTTGGAAGTCAGCAAATGGGATCTAAAATTATTCTAAGTCTTCAATTTGACTGGTCCCAGTTTAAGGTTATCTGTTTATTTTCAGCTCTGATCTCTCTGGTCATTAGTGTTTGTTATTGTAATCAATTTTTTCTTAATTTTCATTTATTCAGAAACTAAAAAACTTTTTTTAATGCTAAATGGCTAAATAGTTTTTAACAACTAAGGTCAACTTTTAAAATTTGTTATTTAGCTCATTAATTCGCATAAAATATTTTTGATCATATATTGTGGATGAAATTTAGGCTGATGGATTTTCATGCAATTTATTCAGGATAGGTTGGATATGAATCGGACTGCAATAATAGGTCACTCATTTGGTGGAGCAACTGCTATCGCTACTTCTGCAGTTTCAGCTGATTTTGCGGTGATTTTCTTTGATATAACTTCTTTTTGATATGATATAGCTTTCTAAAATTGAACGCAGCTAGAATAGTTAAGTGGATTGCTCTCATTTTGGGGCGATAGTGCCATTATGCTTCCGGCAGAAGTAAGCTTATTTCCAAGAATGCGGATGGTTCGCCTATATTCCATTATCTAGTGGTAAACTTTGTCTGCTTCCCTCAAGCTAGAGGAATAAGTCTAAATGGTAGCTGGCGATAAAAACTTGGAGAATTAATAAGAATATAGTATAGTTCGAATTTTACAAGATGAAGCATCAACGGTTTTGCATTTGTTTATAGGTTATAATTAATTAATTAATTAATTCTTTTCCAAATTTAATATGGCTTCAAGCCTTGCCGTAAATAATTTTCCACGTTTACTTTAGTTGTAAGCTTTGCAATATCCATAAGAGATAACTTCTTATTTAAAGGCAACTGTGGTATTGGATGGCTGGATGATGCCTATCGAGAAAGAGCTCTATCCGCGTTCCCTTCAGCCAACTCTATTCTTGAATGCTGAGCAATTTCAGTGGGCTTCCAATGTCGATCTCATGTATAAATTGGGCAATAATAGCGCAAGAAATATTATTTTAACGTTAAAGTTCGTTACAAATTGCTATGAAAATAAACTCCTATCTTTTTTATATTTAGAAAAATTTTATCTTATAGTTGTATAGAAAATTATGGTTTGAAACTATGATAATCATAGTACGGTGATTCTGGTGGCCTAATCGATGAATAATTGTTAATGACATAGTAAATTTTGAATAGAACTTTTTTGTCAATTTTATATCATGTTGAAGTTTTTTTACATATTTTATTGTTATTTTATATTTAATGCATTTAATATTCTTTATTATAGGGAAACGGCACATCAAGCCTTCACAGATTTTCCGTTCCTCTTACCCAATTTTTTGACTCGCAGGTTTGGTTTTACGGGAAAAATCGATCCAATAATTTGCATGGAAGCTGTCGTAAGCTTAACTTTGCAATTTTTAAAACAAAATTTTGATGGAGAAGAAAATGGCTTGGACTCAATTATCAGCAGGTACAGTAATTTCATTGTGGAAGGGACAACCCTTGAACTCAATATGCCTCTAACCTAAGTGAGAATTTCGTTTCACTTCCGCTGGTGTCATTTAGAGCGCATTACAGAAAGCGATACTAGAAATCGATTGTTTTGCTTTCAACTTCCATAATTTGCTGTTTTTTTATAATTTTTGTAATTTGTCGAAGTACTAATAGGTAAAGAAAAAGGCATTATGCTTAGGAAGATTGACTTATTATTTCTCCTTTCTTCTTTTAACAGCTCCCACCATTACTGTTTAGGCTGGCTCCAACGGCTACAAGGTAAGATTTTCAAGCGACATGGTCTAATGCCATCGTCGGCAGTAATAGAAGCCATTCCTTTTTCCATTGTCTGAGTCCATATATTGCTGGTCCACCTATATGTTTAGAATCTTTCCGTATCAGTCCAGGTCTTGATTGGCCCACCTCGCTTCGAATGTTTAGGAAAATTGATTGATATATTTTTGCTATTGATGAATTGCTTATTCTGTTGGATTATATTATATTTGCTATTTTTTATTAGATTATTGTTGCATTATTACTTAAACTGATTTAAATTAAGTGAGCTGAATAATGCGCATAAAATTTTTCCACTTTTATTCGATTAGTATTATTCACTATTGAATATATTTATTGAAAAAGTTGACTCGAACGTTATTTTATAAAAAATGAAAAAACAATTAAAGGTAATAAAAACCTCAGTCTACTGAAAACAAATCCTTTGGTACAGCGAACGATTCACATAGATTAGCGGTTATCATCAAGGTGTCTGTCATTCTTACAGCGGCACATTTTACGACTCCAATCGGTGTCTTAAGCGAATCAATCAAATAATGTGAATTATCCGGTTTTAGCGTTACAAATTTACCATCCGTTTTCGTATTCTCGTATAATTTCAATTCCACCTTAAAGAAAACCAAGAGAAATAAGAAAATCGTGTTCTATTCTTATAAAAAAAATTCTATCCTAAGTTGGTGATAGAAATTTACCTCAGCATCATTTACCTTAGTAATATGCGTCACCAACGGAAAAGGACTCTGACTAAATCCTGGTATACTATCTTCAACTGGTATTTCTTTCCAAATCTTACAAATTCTCAAGCATAAAGCGACGATGGTCAAGTATAAATTCTTCATGTAAGCGCTGGAATTTGGAACCGGCCTCCAACATATATCGATCATGAAAAAAATAAGTATAACTAGCAGCATACGTCATATCTACCACCAAGTGGTTCTTGATTCTTTAGCCAACTATAACAACACTACTTGGCTCAGTAAGTTATTGCTCAATTGGGAGAGCCGACGCTGAAGCTCGATTCCCCGCAGGCGTAAACCTGTATAAAAATCCAGATGGTTATGGCGACTCATTTCTAATTCTATCGCCAAGAGACTATCTGACATATTTATCCAATGCGACAAGCCAGTGGAGCGGGTTTAATCAGTAATGGTGAGGACTTTCAAAAAAAAAACTACTTAGCATCACCCAAGTAATTGATGTCCTCCTAAAAGCTTAGTCCAATCCTAAAAATCACAAGGCTCTAGAATTTAGCACTTAAAAAACACCTCTTTGCCAGCGAAATAAGCCATAGTCCTTAAATAACGCTCTCTGAGTTCAGTGGCTTGTTTCTGTTCGATTGTGTCCTCATCAAATGCACATTCTCCCACGACACCCATCATTGCAGACTTCTTTTAACCTTTATTAGCCTTTTTATTACTTTTTGTAAATTAATTATTGTAGTATTCCATTTAATGAACCAATTTTTTCATAACACTGCAAACAATTTATTATATCAATAAAAACATCCATTTACTTGACGAAGAAATTTTTGGATAATTTTTTAATAAATTTTAGCTATAACAATAATAATTCATTCAAAAGAAATCGTGTAAATATTTTATTTCTTTTAGATAAAACAAATGACTGAAAAACAAATTTATTTAGAGAAAAATAACGAATTTTATATGATTCCAATTTTATTTGCAATATCGAGAGCGTCGTAATCAGCAGCTAACCTTACGTATGCTTTTTTCACATGATTTGGTGTTATCAGCGTATTCACCTATAAGATATTTGATTCACATAAAAAATTTGAAAATTTCTGGAACCAATCTAAATGGACTATAAAAGCAAAAAATTTTTCGTCTGAGAACCTAAAAATTCAAATTCAACTCTGTAAGAATTCAAAACTAAAAATTAACTCAATGATGGGCCTTTCAATAAAAATATAACTATTGAAATATAAAATATATAAATATATAAAAGCTAAAAAGCAAAGAAAAATAAAAAGACAATAAATAATAAAGTTAAGTGATAAACACTGAAGATAAAAGGTAACTAACAAACAAGTATTAGAAACAAATAATAAAAAAAATAGACTTTTGAACTAACCTTATGAACATCTATGTTATAAAGTTTTTTTACGGCTGCTTTTATTTGAGGTTTATTCGCATGTACATCAACAATAAAGACAAGCGTATTTGTATCTTCAATCTTTTTCATCGCCGATTCAGTGGTTAATGGATGCTTAATAATAGCATATGAATCCATTTTATTGCGTTTTGGAACAGATTTTCGTGGATATTTCGGTGTACGTGGCTTTCTTAACGTTCTTGGCCGATAAAAATGAACAGACGTTCGCACCTAAACAATGGCAATAGTTTTCCTCATAAACAGGATGGAAAATTCACATTAGCTAGTCTATTATATTAGTTAAAATACCTTCTTTTTACGAGTATTGAACTGTCCTTTGACTACTTTCTTTTTAGCTTCAAGGGCTTTCGCCACTTTCGCAGCTTTCATCTTAAGGACAGCTGAAATAAAAATTCTTATGATGAAACAAACTAAAAAACCACATTTTTTGGAAAATCTCTTGAAACACGTTCGAAACTTGGTCAAATTTGGATAAATATTTGGATAAATTTTCTCAAATTTCTTCGATTAGATATTAAGATTAGATATTAAAGACACCACTCTAACTAATGAACACTTCATTTGCTACTTCTAAGGTGATTAAAAATTCTACTCATTCACCATGTGGCACCAAGTAATTATTCCTTAAAATCACTATAAATAAAACCATAAAACTAACATTTGTTATCAACCTTCTTGGCAGGTTTTTTTTGTGACATCCTGAAAAAACTTAAACGAAAATCAATACAATGGGATAAAAACGATCCATTACTCAAAAAATATTTTAAAGAATTTCTTAGAAATTTTTTGTCCAAATCCCTGAAATAGCCTCTGCAAAATGCAATTAAAGACGACTGTATTGAAATATAACAAACAAGCAAAGCAAAACTTGTTATTAAAGCAATTAAAAACAATTTTTGCTATATAGTAAGCGCGATTTTATTTAACACCAATTTAATATTAAATATCTGATAATTTACATAATAAATAAAAGATAAATGTTCAAAGAAAAATTAAGCACAACCGACATAATCGAAAATAAATACAAATATTAAGGCAATAAAAAAAACAAGAAAACAAGTGAAATTCTATTATTAAAAAGATTCAGCAATTCTATATTTTTTAAGAATTTCGTTTAAACCTTGACACTTTCTGCTAATGTTTATTCTAAAACTCGTCACATTTCCTTAAAACTCCCAATCCCTTCGAATTTTGTGCACTGAAAATCAAAAACACAGAATGAATTGAATTTATCTTCATATGCTAAAAAAAGTATAACAAAAGTTTTAGGAGAATATTAAAATATTTGATGGAATTTCTTTATAAAACAAAACACAAAATATTTTGAGGAATATCAGAAACTTTCAACCATGGAAGCAAAACTGATTGATTCTTAAGGAATATTAATGGACCAAATAAAAAGAAATAATGGGAACTACTACATAAGTGCTACATGGCGCTTTTAGTAGAAGAAAAAAGTTGATAAAGAAATACCATAAAATAGCGAAAGAATAATGGGTCACCAACACCGAAAGCATTTGAAAAATAGATTCTCTTCTATCCACGATAAAGTCGCAACAACGATGCTCCCAAATAAAAGAAACAAGTGAACCATCATTTTTCTTTCCCTTATGAGTCTCATTGGTTTAAAAGAGAAAAGTGAGATCTGGGATTATGGCACTATAATGTGCCTTAAGGCAAATTAATGCTGAGATATAACACAAGAATGAAGAACTGATTAAATTGGAAAAGAACCATCCTAAAATATATAAATTTTACATATTCTAATATTCTACAGATCTTTTTTTCACTATGAAAAATGAATTATATAAAAAATCGATGAATTCAATTCACTTCATCTCGATTAAAGTATTTTTATGTGGTTCTCGCATTTTTTTAATCAACAATTTTTGTTCAACATTAGTTAGACGATTGGGACTCCTTTCGAATAGCAAATAACCAAAAATACACATTAACACGGCCACAACCATTAATATACAAACAATAATACCAATACCGATCTGATATGCGACTACTTCGCGACGCAATTTCACTTCAAATGGTGAAAATGTTGTTGTCATAAATTGAACAAGCTAAAAAAATAAAAACTAAACAAAAGTGCAATTAAAAAAGGAAATTAAAAATATTTTATTACGCCATCAGGAAAGCTTTTTGAATAAACTCACCGAAGGCAAATAAATATTCCAAAATGAAACTCTTTCCCAACGATAATCTCGTCTTAATATTCCAGGTGTATTCATATCCGACCGATACGAATAATTAAAATCCATGTACCAATGTCTCCTTGGTTCCAGTGGTGCCCAGGATGAATCGAACGGTAAATTTGGATTCCTTCAAATAAATATCCATAATTCACGAAAAACTTTACAACTTTCTTTTTCTTCCTATTTTTTCTAGAAGAATGTTTCCAATAATCCAAATTTTAGTTTTCTACTGGATATAGAGGAATTTTGATATAGGCACAGATTTCAAAGAAATGTACATATAATACAATACATTCCGCAGACACTGGCCAAATGAAACATAAAAGAAAATGCCATACACGTTCCTGACAAACTGCCGATAAATGGACATAAAAAGTTGACTCGCATTCCGATCCTGAACTGACCACTTCACCTCAGAAAAATGAAAGGGCAATAAATCCTTTGGCATGAAAGGGAAACCAAACAGCAAGTAAAGATCACAATCATGACAGACACCTTAAATATCTTCTTTAAATTTTAATCTGGATCTCGAACAAAACAAAACCTTAGAAAATTGAACATGACGTTCTCAGTAATATCTTATCTTCATTTCATCAGACCCGAAAGATGGTCCCATCATTGAACATCTCTTAAAATGATTTTCTTAGCGAGAAAACTAAAAAATCTTAAGCAAGAAACTAGAAAATTACTGACTCATCCATTTCGGCAAGAAGGAATTACCGTCATTCGCAAACTCGTAATTATTCACATACATGAATACTCTGGAACCTGCTGCAGAATGCAAATGCGCGGAAAGGCTGATAGGAGCTGTGTAATATGCATCTGTCGCTAACTAAATGAAAATATATGCTATAACCAGAAATCTTCATGAAAACTCGGGAAAAAATTTCCATTTTAAAATTAGCTTTACTAATATAATTCACAATAATCGAAAAATGGATAATAAGTAAGCATCTCTGTCATTCAGAAAATCAAACCAGCTTCGGTGACTGAATGAATCCTCATAACAATTTAAAAAGAGAACAAATGAATTTCCTTCATAACAAAGCATAACAAAATAATTTATTTACTTCGATAAATTTCTGTCTCACAGCATTGTCATCTGATGGATCCGGAAAATATGTATAATGATCTTTGATTGCTTGAACAGTTGCTTCACGATTCATGGTGTAATTGTGTCGGAATACATATTCCAACACGAAATCATTCATAAATTCTTGATCTACACGCAAAAAATCATTGAATTCTCCGAGTTTACGATCTTCCAATATAACCTGAAAAAAAGACAACTGCGGCAAAAAACTTATAATTTCATTATGAATTTCATTATGTATATAATTTCATTATGAAATTACATACTCAAATTAATGAAATTATGAAATTCATTATGAAATTATATACTCAAATTATATATACTCAAAAAACGAGAAAATTTCTGTATATTCAATAATTAAAAAAAATAGACCGAAAACCGAGCAAATTAATTTATAAAATTAACAACCAAAAACTTTACAATAAAATAATTCTCAAATTTAAACGAATTAATATTACTAAAATATTACTTCTGAACCATCGAACCTATTCAGCCCTGTTAAATAGGGAACTGGAGAAGGATAATTAATTAAACCCGATGGTACGGAATTCAATAGCCAAAGCGGATTAGCAAGAACTTCTTTGCCATCAACTGTTGGCATAAAAAGATACCGATTATATTCAATCTAAAATCATTAAAATATAAGACTGAAAAATTTTAATCCCAAAAAAAATATAATAAAAAGATAAAAATAAATACAATAATAAATATAAAAATATAATAATAAATACGCAGCCAATCAAAAAAATATTACTAAAAATAATTAATTTGTATTGTATAAAATAAAATAATGCACTAGAAAATAGTCTAAGAATTTATTCGAGAGTAATGCGAAATTACAATTATAGTTATAATATATTGTGAATTTGGTAAGAGAGGAGATGTAAAAGAGAGGAGATATACATAATATATAATAAAAAATATTTTCTCCGATAAAATTTTTGTCAAATATTCTATAACATGAAAAATCTGTCAAACAACCAACCGGAATAGTTTCAACTGCTTCAATAATATCATTTGTTGAACGCGTTAAAATGCAATCCCATATTTGTTGTGCTATAACTTGACTGCAACCAAGATATCGACCTAATTTGACGGTATTATTGAAAGCTAAAGCAGGTTTACCGATGGTAGAATGATAAGAAACTTCAGCTCCAGACATACCAGATGCCGAACGAAAAAGACCTAAATAAGAATGAATTAAATGAAAATATGTAGCAAAAATTCACTGTGAAACTTCGAATATAATAAGTGGAAGCTTTAGTTTTACTCTTAGACAAAGGCGACAACATATGCAGTCCTACACTGACCGCTCCAGCATCATGCCCAACAATTGTCACGGCAAAAGGATCACCACCAAATGAAGATATATGATTTTGAACAAATTTCAGTGCAACGCGCTGATCCTGAACTACAGAAAAAAACGAAAAATAAAACTGAAAACAAATAAAAAAGAAAAGGAATGAAAGAAAGAAAAGAAAGTTTCTCTTCAAAAAAAAACCTGTAATCCGTAATTGCCCGTTTCCCAATCTCCAAGGCTCATGAAACCGAATGGACCGAGTCGATAATTGACTGTTACCACAACTATACCACGCGAAGATAGAACATGTCCGGGCCATTCATTTGCTGATCCTGTTTGAAAATTTCCTCCATGAAAGAATACAATGACTGGATATTTCATGATCGACGATACCTTAAGTTGTAGACTTTTAAGTTTCGACCACAAAAAAAAGTCGCAAGCGTTAAAAATTCCCAAAATTAAAGATAAAAAAACAAAAAATTCACAAAAAAAAGAAACTCTCATTGACATTTTTGATTTATTGATAGATGGACTATTTGTATCAAGCCGCAAAATCGTAAAGCTAACTTTTGGAGTAAAAATATTCAAATAAAGACAATCTTCATCAACACGAAATGGATATGGATCATTAATAAATAATGATGGACGTTTTTCCACATTTTGAGCGCATGATGGTGGATATAAAAAAGCGAAAAATGGTCTATCACCAGGCAGTTCCGTTAACAGTTGAGGCGGCTAGAAAAATAAAATAGCATTTAATAAAAAAAAACTAATATTCAAAAATAAAAATAAAACAACATTAAATAAAAATATTATTATTCAAAAAGAAAAAAGATATTCAAATTAAACAGAAGCCTAAAAATAAGAAGAAATATTCCAAAGTTCGAAAATAGTCCAGCCTTTCCATAGATTTATTTTCATCAATTTTACGGCTAGTTTTTTTTTTCAAATTTATCGTATTATGAGTTGCTTTTCTTTGTTATCATACCTGTCTTATCTTGCAGTGATGAAAAATTTTTTTAGGACAAATCATTCATTACAAATATGCCATAAAATGAGAAATGACTAGACAACTGAAGAATTATTTTGAGTAAAGATATACAAGGCTCAAATTTCCGCGGTTAAATATATCGTGGAATAACCATAATATTCAGCTGATTCAAAAAAATTTCCTTTTCAGTTCCAAACTTGTCATTCAAACTTATGAGTAAGTAAATTCCACTCGAATAAAGTCAATATAAATAAAAAGAAATAAATAAATAGGAAATTAAAAAACCTTAAAACGTCGCTGAGAAACTGGCGGCTCTGCGTAAGGTATACCTAAGAATGTAAATATAGTAACGTTATTTGTCGGAGGGACAGGATTTGGCTCGAAATGATCTCGATCAATTGGTATTTGCTCGAATGGATCATGATCACACGTCCATGGTACATCCTTTATAATGATTTTTTTTCCAACTACATCACCAATCGCTAATCGAACCAGGACATCATCAGTAAACACCTATAATAATAAGAAATAAATTACGTAAAAACATTTTAAGCCAAAATCATGAAATTAAAAACAAAAAAAAGATTAAAAACTAAAGAGCATAAGGGTTAAAATACCATAGGTGGTAGTGAGCCACGGAAAACTCCATATATACTCCATATATCAAACTCCAATGAACTTATAAATCAGCTTGCTAGTACCACAACATGAGGCCTAATTTAGAAGGAAGTGGCAAATTTTACGCTCCGTACGCAAAGAATGTGTCAATAGATCAAACAAAACAGCATCCGCTAAGGAAATAAATAAATAAGATCCAGTGGGTTGTCGCTCTTATTTTAGAGCACTCCTGGCAGAATGAAACTTGATTCAGAAACAGCACTAAAATATTTCGAGTATTCGTGCTGAATTGGTCCACTACAACCACCCGTGCTTCTATCGCCAAATGATTTCCTGGCGAGATTTGCCTAGTCCAGCAAACTAGCAGCCTAGTGGTGAGCGCACTTAAAAAAAAAAAAAAAAATTGATCAGGCTGACCACTGACTGCCCAACTGAAAATTATTCAAGGTCTCGAAATAAAAAAAGTGAAAAAAATACTTTTTTCGTGGATTGGGTCGAAGTACCAAAGGGATTCCAAAGGTCGAAAGGTCGAGTAAGTTGGAACTCCGCATCACTTAACCAAGCTTCACATAACAACACAAACAAGACTAATTGAACCAAACCATCACCATTCAACATATTTCACCTAAACCTCTTTGGCACTGTTCCATCACCAATACCGTGAATGAATGCCGATATTTTGAAAATTGGGCCTATAGCAGCGCTCTAATTTTAAAAAATAAGCTCCATAGGGTCTTTTTGGTGCCAAATTTTATAATGTGACGGAATTTGAGATAATTGATTACATATATTTTAATTAAAATAGAATGAATTTAAGAGATTATCAACATAAGTAGGGATCAGTCAATGAAAAATAAATGTTGATAAGACAATTACCATTAAAACAAAATAGCGTACTGGTACTAAGTGGTGAAAAATTATGAAACCAAATAATAGGCCAATGACACCAACAACAACAAAACAAGTGAAAACTGGATAAATGTCGACAAAGGACCCATAATAATAATCTTTAACTACTCAAGAAATGGACAAAAAAGCCGGCATAGCAGAAGCGGAATTCAGCTCTCCGCTAATAGCTTGGATCCAATTCAGTCCTCGCTAGTGTTCAGAATTCTTCGACTGTTGAATTAAATTTCCCAATAAAAAATGAACACCAACGGCCAAGCCAATCTATGGCTGATATATCCTCGATCACACCTATGTTAACACCCAATCGTGGCCAATTTCATTCTTTCAAGCCTGATGAAAGATTTATTTTTGGTTATGATTATCTAGTAAACGGTGTTCGAAAGATCCAATGCTGGATAGGCAGCCAACTGCCTTAGTATAAAAACATTATATACTATTTGTCCCATTTATAGACCGTAAAAATTTTAGTATCCTAAATTTATTCAGTAATATATTAAATATTAAACCAGAAAAGAACCAATCCATATCCACAAACGATATTAAAATCACGTCAAATAAGTTAAAATGAAATAAATGGCCAAGTACCAATCCAGAATAAAGAAAATGGCTCAGTGGGTTCTCATTCAGTTCGAAATGCCTATGGTAGGGTTTTATTTCACGAGTAAACTTGTCCATCAAAACTGGTGATCCATCGTCAACTCATTGACTCTCTTACAAAACTCATTGACTCTCTAGTGAATGGCCCAGTGGAGCGAGTCTGATCAGCAACCACCTTAAAAAATTTTGTGCCCTACCTATGATTTTCTCCTCATATTTCAAGTATTCAATGGTTTAAACTAATGCGGATTACAAATTTCAACTGTCACCCAAATGATATTCCCCCTTCCCCCTTAAAAGAAATAATTGAAATGCTCAAAAGCTCCATTATAAGTTACCGTTGTTGACACCAACATTAAATATTCAAAAAATATCTCTATTGTCTCCTGACGGTTTCTCCTTGCCTATTTGTGTGCAGATTTTTTTTTTTATAAATTAATTCCACTTACATAATTAAAAGTTCAATCAAGCCGGAGGGCTTCAACCATGTGTGACTCCATCTTTAACTTAAAATTATGGCCTAGAAATTTCAATTTGGACCTGATATCCGTTTCTCAGCCTCAATGAATATAATTAAAAGACTAGGCTAAAAATTGTAAATTAAAAAATAATTAAAAATAATTAGATAATTAAACTATAATTAAAAATTATGCTAGGGATTCACCTCTCCTCACTCCTAATCACTCAAATTTGGTTCAAGGGTTTCACCAGCCAAACCAAAAATGTTCCACTGGTTTAGGCTGGTACTTTATCAATTCATTACTTCTGATTATCATTATCATTTCGTTCCAATCATGCAATTTCTTTCTTATTTTCTTTTCCTTCATTTCCTTCGTTTCATTTCCTTTTTCAGACGTCAATCTCCTTCGATAAACCACACTGACCAGTTGACATGTTTGACTACTAGAGCCGACCCCCTTCAATAAAATTTCTTAATTGGTCAATATATCGAATATCGGATATCGTCTCGTCTGACTATTAGTAATCTCATTTAGCTAAAAAATAAATGTTCAAATAATTTTTTAATTTCGATTATTCGAATTATTGGATATCAATATTAATTTTAATATAATTTTATTCTTTTCTGTTTTAGTTGTATTTTTAATAGTTTTAATGATTTTAATAATTTTCAATTTTAAAATTTGTTTATTTAAATATATTTAAATATATTAAAATGAATAAGATTGATTTTAATTATTTTTAAAATAACCAATCAGGATGAAGCAATTTCTATTTCTGTTAATATAACAGTGATAATGCTAGTGATAACTGATAATTTATTCTCTTCAAGCAACTCTCATCATACTGGTTAGGATGGCTGCACTGGCTATAAGAGTGAGACGTTTCCAAGCTATGCGATTTGATGCCATCGTCAGAAGAAGCCATTAGAAACCATTCCTTTTCTTACTTATACGCTTATTTAGTTTCCTTTCCTGATTGTATCATTCCAGGTCTTGATTGGTCCACCTCGCTTTTGACGCCACCCATTATAGAGTTTAGCGAGTAACAAAATATGTATCTTGTAATGGGCGACGAAGAACTGAACCTTCCCTAACCAGCGAAGGCGTCGTTATCCGATGGTACTGTTAATACAAGTGGTATTTGAGCGAAGATAGTATTTGAAGTATTTGGATACAATCATGTGCGATTTTATCCGCTCGACGGATCCATAGAATATACCTTAGACATGAGTGGTCGAAGGCAGATAACTTCTTAATTCTCCACTTTTATTGGCCATTTCTCGCAGTCATATAGCAAGATTGAACGATAATTGATAGTGATAAAATATAAAATTTGGTAAATTTGAAATTTGATGAAGTCAAATTTTATTCGTTTTATTTAATTTTTATCAATAAAATTTTTTTAAAATTTATTTTTATATAAATTTATTAAAATTTTACAATTAATTTTAGATGGAATTTTCATTATTTATGCGTTATAATCATGAACTGATTCGTATTAATTGATTTCTTCTAATTCAGTTCTTTTTAATTTTAGTTCCATAGGCTAATAGAAGAAGGAAATTCTACCAAGAAAAAAAAATGGCCAAAGAATCGTATATATTAAACAGATATTACAGGTAACCAGCGGAATTTTATTCTTTTAATTTATAATTTAATTATTTGTTATATTCTTTTTTGAATATCTCCCACCATCATTGCTTAAGCTTGTGGCCACAAGGATGAAGCTATTCGAGACTTCTTGGTTCCTTACTTGAAAACGACAGAAGCCGCTTCTTTTTTTGCCAAATAAGGGCATATATTACTACGCGGCCCACATTCAAAATTTCTGTTGACCCTATCAGTTCATATCTTAATTGATCTTTCTTTCTTTTGGTGGCATTAATCATAAAATTTCGATAACATGTCCCAAATAGCGCAAGTGAAGTTGTGTTGCGACTGTGATGATTTGTTGGTATTGGTACATATTTATATTGATAAGCTGCAATTATCGATATATAATCTATCATTTGTTTTAATTTTTCAAACTGTGTCATTAACTTATTCAAGATCAGTTATCATATTCGCCCTATCTCTCGAATGTCGGTAAGCGTCCCATAAGTGAATAATGTAGGAGAAAGAATACATATTTCAAAAGCGCATATCAGTTTCCTATATTTATTTATATTCAGACTCGTGTTCACCCTTTGCCAGATCTATGCTGACCTTTTAAAATACCTTTAATATTGTATTAACATATTGCATTTTACTTGAATGGTCACTGTGGTCAATAGCAGTACCAATATCGTAAATTTTTTTTCATAAATATTTTTTTAAAACTCAGTTTAATTTTTAGAGATTTCATTAAAAATTATATGAGTGTAATTACTATAATTATTATAATTCTTATAAGCATAATTCTTTTTTTTTGCAGATTTCCTTGAGGAAATTAACCGAAATCGGTGAATTAACTATGCGAAAAAGTTCCTTATAATTTAGTTTTCGAGTTTTCGGTGAACAGTTGTATCATTTTTTTCTTTTTCGAATGTTTTTTCCATTTTGAAAAAAACTGAAAAATTTGTTTAAATTTTAGGAACTTTGATTTTATTTATGGAAAAGATTTGAAATTTTTCAAAATTTAAATTTTTCCTCTATATTTCGGAAAAAAATTTGCTTTAATTATTTTAACAACAATTTAATTTTAGAATTTAAAAAGAAACAAAGAAGGAGACTGATAAAGTTATGGCAAACGTTTCATCATTTGATACTAATGATAATAATTCTGGTATTTTTCTCAAAAAATTTTTTAAGGAAAATTATTTTTATTAATTAAATGAAAAATTTTCCTACTTGAATTTATTTTATAGGCGATTACAAAAAAGAAATTTTTATAATTTTTGAATGTAATAATAAATGTAGCAATATTAAATATTAATACAAAATTAATATTTGAATATAAATAATAAATAATTATTAGATTTCGAATGGAAATTTTGCTGCAGCCAAAGTAGTTTATAGTAGTTTAATTATTCTCTATTTATAAAATAAATGTTATATAATAAATAATATGAATAGGAATAATATTCATAATATAGATAACATTTGAATGAATAGATAAAAATCTTTCCATTTTTTTAAATAAAATATTCGTTTTCAAATTTTTTATTCATTTGACTATAAAAGCTATGGGAAAATTTTTATTCTATTATGGAAAAATGTACGAAATGGAAAATTTTCGTAAAAATAAGCAAAAAAAGATAAAATAATCTAAGTTAAAAATTTTTTCTCTTTTTCTAATATAATTATAATTATTCATCTTTTTTTATTTAATTTATTTTCAATTTTTTAATACTTTCGATGCAATAAACTTATAGAAATAATTTATGGTTCCGGAATTGTACGTAAATTAAAAGAAAAATTTTCGCAACTTTCTACTAATCAAATCACATTAAATTATCAGAGTTCCTTAAAAGTCGAAAAATATCCTCCATCCAATAAAAGGTGATTCGAAATTTTGTTGCTTTATTCATATATTTTTTTATTCTATTTCAAATTATGCAATTTTTTCGATATTTTATATTTTGATTTATAAAATTTATTTCTTATTTCTTATAAATTAATATTATAAATTATATCTTATATAAATTTCAATTAATATGCTTTCAAATATTTTTAAATTTTTATTGATAAACTTCTTTGGAAAATTGGAGAATTCTTTTTTTAAATATTCAAATATTTTAAATATTTCAAATAATTTTATTTTCAGAAATATATTCAGCAAATATCATGGACAAAAAGTTTGGCCAAATAATATTTCGAGAAACAATGAAACCTTCATTAGGGTTAATTTTTTTAAATTTATGTATATATTTATTTATTTATTTTTGTTTATTTAATTTTAACTTTTGCTTCGGCTCGATTTTTGTTCTTTGATATTTTAAAAGTAAAATTATTTTTTTCATTTAATTGTAATTAATCAATCAGACTTATAGGAGGAGAAAAAGCGCATAATTCTGAATGAAAAACCAGAATTTAGTATAGCGGAGTTGAGAGAAAAATTTGAACGATCAAGTGCGATGCGAACTTCACTCTCATCAAATTTTAATCGAAATATTGTTAATTTTCTATCTTTTCTTTTTTATCAAATATGTCAAATTTTGCATTTAAATATTTTTATTTATTTTATATAAAAATTCCTGTTTTTTTTTTTTTTTTTAAAATAAAAACTTATAATTAAGCTTTATATGAAAGTTTATTGCAGGGTAATAATAAAGAAAAGAAATCAAGAAATGGTCGTTCGCGTTCGGCTGAACCAGAAATTAATCGCAATAAAATTGAACCTGAATTTATGGAAATTTATCGAAAATTTATTGAACGTTCGCAAAGTGCATTTCAGAATACAATAGGTTCCATAAAATTATAATTAAAGAAATCATTTAAATTATTATATTTTTATAGATTTGTTCAGTTTTGCTAGTAATGCATTTTAAAATTTCAAAAATTTTAAAATTTTTAAGAAAATAGTAGAAGAAAATGGGATTTTCGAAATTACCAAAAGAATTTTTTTCTAAAAAAAAGAATAACAATTTTATAAAAATTTTATGATATTTTTTGCTTTGAACAAAAATTTTTCTTTCTTCATTTTTTTTCAGCGGATGAAAAAGGAATATTGACAACAATTTGTACGAAAAAAAATAATTTATTGAAAGTAATTAATTCAAATATTATAAAGTAAAAAGTTAATCTAATTTAACTTCAATTCAGTCAAAAAAATTGGTGTTAAAATCATTTTTCAGTGGTTATAGTAATTATTATTATTTTATTTTATTATTGTTAATTTCAGTTATATTGATTTCTTAATTTTAATCGATCGGCAATACATGGCCTAAGAGAGAGTGAGAGAAAAAGGAGAGAAAAAATTTATGCATCTGTTGATGGGCTGTAGTCCATATAGTCCAAGTGAAGCTCTGTTAGGATACTGCTAATATAGGTGGCATTCGAGTGAAGGTGAATCGTGTGAGATTTTCTCTGTTCAGTAGAGTCATAATATTTTCATTAATCTGGAGTCTATATTTGGCTGTAATTTTTAAAGCACTATTCAAAAGGGGACTAGACCGTTAACTTTTGAAACTCTTTTCTTTGGTACCATACCATTTATTTATGCACTCTTGATTGCCTGTAAGATATTGTTGGAATTTTATGGGGTTGGAATTTTACGCAATCTTTATGTACCCACATTTTAATAATTTTTATTTTAAAATGGGGTATGTGATTTTTTTAGATTAGGAAATAGGATAAACTTTTCCAGATTTAATTTAGTAAAAAATTATTTTCACAATTGGGGTGATGTTCTTTGGAATTCCATCACTGTAAAGCGCCACCGAAATCGATGGAGCGAATGAGATGGCGATATTTGAAAGGATACCACTTTTTTGAGCAATAACATTTATTTAGTCCATGCACTCGCGCTGTGGCCTAAATTAAGAGTTGTTAAATCGCAAGATGATGATAATGCAATCCGTTGTTTTATGCTCTCCATTTTTCGAAGGAGATATTCTAAGAGCTTTAATCTTGTTGTTACTTCGATTTATTTCACTGACCGTTTCCTGAGTTATTTTGCGAATGTGAAATACTGCCCTATTATTAATCGGGCAGTAGTTTTTATTTTGCGAATGCGAAATACTGCCCTATTATTAATCGGGCAGTAGTTTTTGTACTGAGGACCATATCATTTCATTATGCCACTTTTGTTGTACCGAAACGATATAACATGATTTATTTAAATTAATTGTAATGATCGTTTAACTGATTCAGTTCATTTAATGATTTTTTCAGAAATCTCCTACACTAGAATTATCAGAGAGTGATAATTCTTCTGCCTCTTTTAATGTGGAATCTGCTTGTGCCACTCACCAGCCTTATTCTGATGTGCAGCACGTAAATTTTTTTATCGTTTTTTTCGAAGGAATTATCAAAGAAATATTGGAAATATATCGGATAGTTTTCAATATTTTTATTTCGAAAAATTTACAGATTGAATTAAACGACGAATCTAGAATAAATAACCAATTTGAAGAAAATATTTCATTCGATTTAATACAAAATGGTATTTTTTTATTTTTTTTATTTCAATATATGAAATTAATTTGAATCAGCTTTTAAGGCAGTTTTTTTTGTTAGTTATTGTTCGTGTCACATTTTGTTTTCCATGTATTCGCGCTTCTTTTTTCCGAAAGTGATATTCAGCTGATCATCATCTTTTTCAACATCATCATCTTTTTCAACATATTTTTTCCTCTTTGATTTGATATGAAACGGTGTGATTCCAACTTTAGCACTTTATCAATTTTATAAATTTTGATACCACGATAATGCCACGAGCAGACTTTCTTTAAGGTTTACAGATAATCTTCTGAAATAGCCGATGGAAGCTGATTGCAGAAGGGCCTGTAAATGGAAAACTTTCACTTTTTGCCAACCATATTTTAAAAATTCCATTTTTTCATTTCTTCTACTTTTCGAATCTCCTAAAAGTTAAGCTAGCCATTCCCAGCAATTGATTTTATGCAGATGGAGTGGGATAAATGTACTCTTATTGCATTTCAACAAATGTTCAGTATAATGGCGTGCCATTAAATAGAATTGTTGAATTTCAGTCGAATTATTATCTTATAAAATGTGCAGCGATTGAAAAGTGAAATGCTTAGCTTCATCTCTTCATCTCCAGCATTATTTTATTTTATTTTTTAAAATAATATTTAAATTTTTGTGTATGAAATTTGATCTTCGTTTATAAAATTCCCTTTAATTTTTACTTTTTAATTAGTAATTTATTAGAGATTATAGCTAAATTTCTTTTTTTTCAAGAGGTTGAAACATTCCTTTATAAATAGATAATTTGGGGAGTACATTTGTATTTCAGATCCCAAATGACTTTCTGGTGAAAAGATCCACACTACTAGTAATCAGCCGGAAAGAAATGATGATATATTCGTTGTTAAGAACAAATTGAAGAATAAGTTAATCATAGGGCATCTACAAATATAGCTCATTTGATTTTTTTTATATCAATTTTATTGTATTGTACATTGTATTTATATTTATAATGTATATATGCGTTGTTATCATGTTTGTCATCGATAAATTCTTTGGAATTTTCAGAAAAATCATCTAATAATCAGTCGGAATTATTAATATCATCAAATAAAGAATTCGCAATAATGGAGCGAGTTTTATCGAATATTCAATCTGAGAAAATGGAAAGCTCAACAAATAACGTTGAAATGTCATCTCAGAAAAGTCATCAGTATATTTCAAATTTTTCCAATAATTCAAAGCGAAAGAGTCTAACTTCGTTGTTTCTTGAACGTAAACAACAATTTAATGCTAATGAGCATTATATAAATGAAAACAATAATGCCAATAATAGGGTTATTTTTATGATTTTTTATGCAAAAATTATTTTTTAAGTTTATTTATTTACTATTTTTTATTTATTCAGTAATAATTTTTATATTATAAAAAATCATTTATTAAAAGTTGTTTATTAAAATTAAATTTTTTAAAAGAGAAATTATAAGTAAATTTCGACGACAAGTTTTATTTTTCTTTTGCGTAAAACGAGTTTTTTATGTTTTGAAATCGGAATTTTTTTCGCAAATGCCTTTTCGAATTTTGAGAATTTACAATATTTTGTTTCAATTAATTAAATAATCAATTAATAATATTAATAAAAATATGAACTAATTATTTAAAAAAAAAATTAATTTCAATTTTTTAATATTCATTTAATATTCAATATTCATTTTAATTTTTGGATAATTTACAACTATAATTTTCAGCCGTTCAATTTGATATACAATTTAATTTTCTTATTTTTATTTAAAAATTTAATTAGTAATAATATAAATGAAATATATTTTTTGATAGATTTTTAATATTTGCCAATTTTATTTCAATTTTAATTTATCGCTAATTTGCTAATTTATTTAGAATTTACGGTCTAACGACGAAATTATTCTTAGACATTCATTAATCAATTTGGTTATGGAAGAAGATATTCCTATATTAATGGAAACAATGTCCGAAGAGGTTATTTTCCTTTTCAACATTTATGATGAGTGGAGATTTGAGGGAGAGAAGCGATTTTGACTGGTTAAGCAGCCATGTTTTCTTTCATGAAAAAACACATAAAATAATAGAAAATCCTTTTTCATCTTGTAGCAATCACTGTTTCTATAATATTTTGGCTAAAATAATAGGCTGTTAGAAATGAAATGAAATGATTTCGCCAGAGGATCAATTGGAGATAGGAATTCAGTTGAATTTCCAGTGTTGTCTAGATTTCACTTTTAATGACAAAATATTTTTATCAAGGAAATGGAATTGAACTCAAAATGCTTGATTTTAATTAAAACAATAGCATTTTTTCGTACAATTATAAATAGTAAATAATTTGAAAATTTGAAAAATGCATTAGGTTGATTATGAAATAATTTTTAGAATTTCAGAAATTAAATTTCTATTTAATCAAATTTATTTATATTTTGAAAGTAATAAATTTTAAACTTAGGTCGAATTTGAATCTGAAGATTTTATGCCAACTAAACCAAATAATTTGAATGGAATTATCCGTCAAACATCAAAAAATAAAGGGAATCGTAGGGTAATTTTCTATAATTCTGCTTTCATTTCTTCTGGTCTTATGGATATTTTAAAGAAGATATATATTCCTTTATATATTCCTATATTTTGATGAAAAAAATTATGAAATTTTTAATCGCTAATTGATAATAAAATTGATAATAATTGATAATAAATTTATTTGTTCTTTTTTTTTCAAATATTTTCAATAATACGCATATATTTAGTAATATATTTAGGAATGTCAATTTGGTTTTTCTTCGGATCCGCCAAATGTTTTTACATATATTGACGAAATTACAGCAATTAATGAAAATCAGTGGAAGCCTGGTGAAGAAATTTCGTTCGATGATTATCGCAAATTGTGTGAAGAGTGAGTTAAATTTTTAATTTATTTTTTAGAGGTTTTTGTAAATTTTTTTATTTCGAATTTTCTCCTCTTAAATGAATTTATTTGAAAATATCATTCCATTAATACCACTGTTTTTCCAAACACTCTACCACTGTTTTTTGAAAGAAAATTTATTTTTTTTCAATTAAGGAAGAGAGAAAAAAGAAAAGGAGAGAATTTCGAAATATATAAATGGAGAACTATGCCCTATAAATTTTCTGATTCCGAATTGTTTTGTAAGCTATTTTATTGAAATTCACTGCTCTGTTGATATTTCGTATAAGTATGCTTTCTTCGTTTTAGGAGTTTTTTTTACTTTTTTCATTTTCATCGGCCTCAAGCATCTTAAAACCGGAAATTTAATCAAAAAAGGAAATTGAAAGGAAATAAAAAGAAGGTTTACGCAAAAGACCTTCGAGCTGTCAAGTTCTTTGTTCTTTACTTTTCAGTATATATCAATTGCAGGTAATGCATCTATGAAGCAACTGTCAGCAAACGATCTCTCTAAAGGTGTTACAAGTCTTATTTGTTATATTCCTTCTTATGATATGGCTTTTAATGATATTATCACGGTTAAAGATTAATGCTAATTAATGTATTTGTATTAATGCATTTTTACATAATGCAAAAATTGTGCAAAGAAGAATGCATTTTTTTACTCCATAGAAACCATTATTTCTTCTAGTCATTTTTTATTTTGTAATTTTTTTAAAGCTATATCTTTATGATATTAAATTTATTTAAAAAATATTCCTAGAAATTTTCTCTTTTCGCTTACATTTATAGTAGACAAAGAAAATGGAGGATATTGCACAAATTTTGCATTAACATCTGCCGATATGAATGAAGTTTGATGAATTCATTCTTAAAATAAAATCTAAATATTTATAATATTTATAAGTATATTAATATTTTATAAATGGTAAATCAAATTTTTGTTATCTAATCCTAATAAATAAGATCCTCTGATAATAGTGATATAATGTTTTCTTTCTTTTGTCTTTCATTTTTTTCTATTTTTTTCAAATTTATCGTTTCAATGATTACTGTATTTGCAAATTTTTTCATCTATTTTTCGTTTTTCTACTGGTAAATCTAATAGTTTTTAGTTCCATTGATTGTTGGAATGAGCTTTGAAAGATCGAATGGAGATGGAAATACCAGTAGCTAATCGAATTTTATTTTTTATATTAGGTCTATTGCAATCTCATGCTAAAATCTCTGTTTTATGCGGTCAGTTCAGCTAAAATGACCACTTGACCAGTCTCTCTCACTTATCACATCTTAAAGATATTAATTAATTTGTTTTGAAAATTTCCTATTTTTTTCATCATTCCAAATGGTATTATTTTATTATTATTTTTTCGACCAAATATAATTTTAACCTAAATATTTTTCAGTTTTATTATTTATTATTACTAATTATAATTCATTTTTTTATAGGGCTAAATTTCTTTATTATTCTAAATCGTAAATAAATAAATAATTATTTTTTCATTGTAATAAAAATTTTCGACCTCTGTTAAAGAGCGTTTTAAATTTAACTTGAAGTGGGAACAGATGGTGGACATTTTGCATTTACCGAATTTTTAAAATTTTACACAGCTCTATTTATTAAAATCTATATCTTATTCAAATTATCATTCCATAAGTAATATAGCGTAAAAAGCAGGAATTCGTTATCGGTTTAGTTATTTTCAGAATATAGAAAAGAAAGATAAGAAGAAATGGGGAACTTATTAGTTTTTTTGATTGAAAAAATAAAAATGGTGCTTTATTTTTTTTTTTAACTGAATAATTCCATTATAAAATAATTTTCAACGATAAAATTTATAAAATATAAAAAAGATTGATAAAGAATTAATTAATAATTTTTTAAATAAGCTTTCCTTTGGTAAAAAAAAAATAAACGAAACAAAAAGAATTTTCTTTTTTCGTTTTCTTTTATTAATTCTTTTATTTTATTTATTAAATGATTATGAAATGAATGGAAACGAAAGAAGATGAATTATCTTAAAGTGTTACCAATTTACTATGGTACTAATTGACAATGGAATATGGCGACTGATAAAAAAAATTCGATAATTTAGTGATATCATTCTATGATAAAGAGATTGTGCGAAAAGTAAATATTAAAATATGTTATAAAATAGAAATTATTAAAAAATAGTAATAATAATGAAAACAATGGATGAATATTGATAATGGCTTAGCGATTCGAGCTCGAGATCGAAACTCGTAAAAACAGTTGCTTCTTGCAATGCATTAACTAACTTCAACTTTACAAATCGTTTCTTTCTTTATTCAATTCACAAACGTTCGTCGATCAAATATGTTATTAATTTTTCTAATTCTTATATTAATTTTAATACAAATAAACTGTCAAAATTTGGAAAAATCTCGATCGGTTTGGGTTGAACAAGGTTTAATTCGTGGAAAAATCTATAAAATGGGAGAGAAATTTATGCAAATATTTCGCGGTATACCATATGCGGAACCGCCAATTGGCGAACTTCGATTTAAAGTAAATAATAATATTTTTATATTTATTTATATTTTATATTTTAATACTTAAATCTATGTTTTAATACTTAAAATTTATTTAAAATTTTTCATAGAGATAATTTTTTCATGTAGATAAACGAAGCGAAGGTCTAAAGGCCATTTGCTTGCGGCAAATTTAAAGCTAATAATAAAAAGTTAAAGCAAAAAAAGGAGAAAAAAAGGGGATTCTATTTTAATATACTGGATTTAGGCTATTATTTTGTGAATAACTCAGATTTAGATTCAAATATACTAGTATACAATGGTACTTTTATGGTATAAATGCGGTAATTAGATGGGAAAAATTGAATTTTATTTTTTTTTCTATTTCATAGATATTTTGAAAATCGTCTTATTTCCAAAAATTTCAAGTGTTTTTTATAGAAATTGTAGAAATTACAAGGGAAATAAAAAAAAATTCCCCATTCCCCTTCCATCATCATCATCTTTTTTCTATCACTATTTTTCTTTGAAATTATGAGAGAAATAAAAACAATTTTAACGAAATTTGATAAGAATTTTATTGAAATTTTACTGATAAATTTGATAAATATTTTTGGTACATACAAAAGAATTTTTTAAATATTTATTTTTAATATGTTTTTAATAAATATTTTAATATTTAAATATTTAAATGTAATTTTTTAAAGTGTTTTTTCATTTTTAATATAATAAATTATAAATTCCAGCTTTCTGCAATTAATTTATATTTTAATGTTTTATACTTTAAGAGACCAATCAAACGAAGTCGTTGGCATCAAGAATATTCGGCGATTGATTTTGGACCGCCGTGTTTGCAGTTTATGGATTTTCATCTTAATGATAGATATTCAAAAGATAATATGCAATATCAAAGTGAAGACTGCTTATATTTGAATGTATTTTCACCTTATGTAAGTTCTTAATAATTTTTCATATTTTCGATTTTTTTTTTCTGAGCATTTATCATTCCACTAATTTATCAAATAAGATAAATTTTGCCAAGAAAGTATTAGCGATAGAAGTAATCATACCAATCGCTAGCATCATTTCTTTTTTTTCAGCTGATAATTTGATAATTATCAGTTTTGATGATTTTTAATAAGGATTGGTTTGTTCCAATTTGCAATTCTGAAATGAGTGCATAATTAAATTTTCAATTTATTTAATTTTTTATTTAAAAAGTCATAAATCTATTTTATCGAAACTTAATTTTAATAATCTTTTTCTAAAATTAAAATTTTTTCATTAAATTCAATAATTTTTTCTAAAATCAAAACCTTAAGGAGCCAGATGATGAAGGAAAATTATATCCTATGTTAATTTGGATTCATGGAGGATCATTTTTGGCTGGTTCTAGTGACACAGGCATTGATATGGATGTTGTAGCAAAGAATTTCATATTCAATGGAGTCGTTCTGGTAACACTCAACTACAGGCTTGGTCCATTAGGTATTTCTTACACTCATTAATAATATTTCCCTTAGGCCTCCATTTTCCACCTTTCCTACAATATGTACCAATCTTCAAAAAGTTTTCTTTTCTAGTAAAATCAACATTTTCTAGGTTTTCTAAATTATCAATACGATGGTAATATCGAAGGCAATTTTGGTATTTGGGATCAAGTGATGGCTTTAGAATGGATTCAGTCAAATATAAAACAACTTAACGGTGATCCTTCAAAGATAACATTAATGGGTGAAAGTGCTGGGGCTGCTGCAGTATCATTACTTGCTGTTTCACCTGTTACGAAAGGTTTTTCTTTAAATTATTCGTTTTCCTTAGAAGTTTTCACCTATTGTCCTTGGTGAAAATCAATTTATAGATTTAAGCAGAAAAATTAATTCTAGGACTTTTTCATCAAATAATCGCCTTGTCCGGATCGGTAACTGCCGGTTGGGCGATACATCGACATGGAAAATCAGATTGGAGCGCTGGAAATTTAGTTGCTTATTTGCGTTGCGAAAAAGAATTCAGCGATAATCACATTAAGGAAATAGCCAGCAAAGAGAAGGAAGCGATGGATTTAAAAAATATGGATTGTAATTCACAGGATGGTGTTCCCGAATGTATAAAAGTCAGTTTATTTACATCGATTTCTTGATAGAAATAATATTTTCATGCAAATTCCGATGTTAGAATCGACAAATTTCTTGACCATAGAAGCTCGAAATATGACTACTTATATGAGATGGTACCACTTGATGCTTAGTGTTGTCAATTTGCCAGGTCTCTGGCAGAGAATCGAAGGTTATCCCTAGGAATATCCATAGCATCTAAAGTGGTATGGTGGAATTTTCAATATTATAATATTGCATAACCATTTCGATTTATTCAATACTTTGTCAATTCTTTATTTTTGGGAAATGAAATAAGGTCAACTAATCTTTAATTATTTTCAGAATGGAATTGGTTTAGAAGCTCCTGAACTTATGGATTGCTTACGAAAGGAAGCCAATTTTTCATCATCGATTTTTCGACGAGCTCTAGCCCATGAGGTAAAAATATTCACATATATTTCCTACAACCTTGCCTAAAAGGCCTATTGTGAGGCGAATTATCGAGGTATAGAGAGACTGACTTTCAAATTATCCTATGGAAAGCAAACGAATTCGAGTTTTTGCATATGATGAAATAAGTCGAAGGTAGAATATGGAAAACGGCAATAAGTCTAGCTACTGCCAAAGGGTATGTAATTGGATTTAAAGATTTTATAAGAGACGATTTGGTTTCATTTGACGAAATGCCTTAAGGCTACAATAGGATTTGAAATTGGAGATTTTATTATTGAAAATATACCGGTTAAAAATTTGCCTGCAGTTCTATTTATGGTATTTATTTATTTTAGATTCATTTTTTAAAAATAGTTAAAATAACCAAACGGTGCATAGAATGGTTCTGGGGGCTTTTTGCTCAATTCAGAGTGCCGATGCCTAACCAGTTATGGTGAGGGCTCTTAAAAATAAAAATGTCCAAACAATTGAATAATCATTTTAAAATTAAAAAATGACAAGGAAATGAGAAGAATTTTTCTTATAATGTCCTCATAATTTGTGTAAATTTAGTTAGGGGTATCGAAAATGGTCGTTGATAACAAATTGGTTCCAGCATCTGGTGTAGAACTGATAATAGCAAATGGACGAATGCCTATTATGATTGGAGTAGCTAAAAGTGAATGGTCACACAAAAAAGGTGAGAATATTTTAGCTTAATTCAGTACTATTCACATTTTAATACCACCAACTCTATTATAATTTATCACCAATAATGAATCTCTTTGTGACAAAAATTGTTCAAAAAGAATTATTTTAACATAATTATAATGAAAAATGAATTAGTACCACTGGCTATTTCGATCGAATGCAATTCACTGATAAGATCATATTATGTTATTGTGATAAATGATATATTTTATAGCACAATTTTACAATTTTCATCACTTTGGTAATGTGACAATGGAAGAATGTATTGATAATATTCGCAAAATAATTGATAAGCACTTTCATGCTGGAACTTCTCATAGGCTTCCAGATTCAACACTTGAATTAATTACGAACGCTTCATATTTCAGGTATGAAATAAGATTTCTTACTAATTTTGGCTTGCTTAATAACTGCTAAAATAGACCGACTTCTACTATTTTCATGAATTTTTAAACGAGTCTTCAAAATTTCAGTTATTTTTTTATTTTCAGATATATTGATTCTCCAGATGGAGATTGGTCTTTGCCTAGGATAGTTTCTGCATTACAAGAAGTTAGTTTTTTTTTGCTGATTATTTTCTAATCTATTCTTTATGGCCAGACGATAAATAGATAAATAGCCAAGTGATTTCAAGTTCATTGCCATATCTTCTTCTAAACTTCACCTCACATAATTACTGGCTCAGCTGGTTATAGTTCTTAAAGATAAAGCTCTTCCAAGCCACTCAATCAAATATTATCAGAATCAACCCGAATCTAACCGGAAATAATGAAATTATCACTTCTTTTTTCACCTAAGCCCATATATCATTGAATTTAATGATAAAGCTCTTCCAAGCCAAATATTGAGATTATTTGAGATTATCAGAAATCACTTCTTTGTCCACCTAAGCCCATATATCATTGAATTTAATGATAAAGCTCTTCCAAGCCAAATATTGTATTTGAGATTATCAGAAATCACTTCTTTGTCCACCTAAGCCCATATATCATTGAATCGCCTATACCTTCAAAATCTTTTCTGACTGAATAAATCAAATTGTTTAATTTTTACGTTTTCGCCTATGTGTAGAGAGGAATATTTTAAATATTTAGCTCGAAGCTGATATCGAATTCGTATCACCAGCGCAAAAAGAAATTGAAGCTTACGCCTTAAAAGGTTTACCTGTATATGCATATTCATTCGAATATATGCCAAGATCGCCACTGATTGAAGAAGAAACTCGTTCATTTGCATTATTTGGTCAACAAAACGTAAAAGTTATGAGAAGAGAAATGCAAATGCATGGTTATTATTTTAAAAATTTTGTAGAAAATTTTACGATTTGCTGGATTTTTTAAAATTAATGGTGATAGAATGGTCCAATGGTTTTATATTTTCGAAACGCCAATATTGCCGGGGTTCAATTTTCGACGAGGGAATAAATCTAATCTTCGAGAAAACCGGTTTATGCTGGCGTATCTTCTTTATACTTCTATTTTGCCTCTGGCAAAATTTATCTAACCCGATAAGCCAGCAGAATCAACCCGAATCTAACTGGAAATAATGAAATAAAAATACATTTATGATATAGAAGTTCCGTATTTTTTATTATTTATAGGTAGAGAAGGACGTAAAGCATTTCATGGTTTGGATCATGCGTTCATATTTACGCGAGGCTACGCGAGTAATATGCAAATCACGCCATTCACTAAAAAAGATGCCCAAATGTCAAAAATGTTATCAACAATGATAACGAATTTCGTTAAATATGGGTGATTTCATTTTTTTTATGAAATTTTTTTTATTACATTTTTTATAAAATTTTATTATTTTTATAAAATTATTATTTTTTTATTATTTATTTTTTATTATTTTTTAATGAAATTTTGTAAAATTTTCTGAACTTAATAATTCATTAAAATAGAAAAAATCTGTAGAAATCCAACAGCAAATCCATGGAATGGTTTTAATTGGCCATTATATACTAATGAATCGTCAACATATGCGATTCTTGACTTACCGCCAAGGTGAATTCATATTTTTATTTTTTTATTTATATCTTATATTTTTATTTGTAATATATTTGTAATATTTTTTGTATTTTTATTTGTAATAAAATATAATAGAGTTAATTTTATTAATTATTATAAGCAAAATGATTTAAAATTATAAATTATAAATTATTATAATATATAGGAAGAAGATGGGTAGCCTACACTGGCCAGCCACAAAGTTTTGGAATAAGGAAGTGGTTTTACTAGAAAAATGTGCATTTAATAGTAATGGCGTTTCAAAAACTGAAGACTATGAATTAACATCGGAAGAAAGATTGCAGGTAATCAATTTATTGATAAAATTGATAAAATTGAAAGTAAAGTAGTTCAGTGGATTGGTGCGTTCATTTTCAGGGCGTTCATGCTGAAACTTTTTACTCCTAGCAAGAGTAAACCTTTCTTTCAAAAATCCGGTTATAGACACGCGGTCTTTAAGTGATTCTTTGGCAAAACTTGCTTTAAATTGATAAGCCAGTAAAGCGAAACCAAAACTATAGTAGGAAAAAATTCATTGAATAATTTTACATTTCTCAGTGGTTATTTAAAAAAAAAAAAATGGAGATTTTTTTTAAAATATTTATCGGATTAAAAATAATTTGTTACAAATAATTTAATAACTAAATTATAAATTGAAAAATTATAAAAAATTTTATAATTTGGTAAAAAATAGGAAAATTCAAAAATCGCTATTGTTCATTTGTCCATTAAATAAAAAATATTATAAAATAATATTATAAATATAAATAATAATATTGCAATAATAGTAGATTTTGGCTGTTTCTACACGTCATCCACGAATCCATTATCCACGAATAATAGAAAATAAAGTTAGAAATAATTTTCTTTTAGGAACTATCGGAGTTCACTTTCGGCATTTCATATGTTTCTTATAGCGCTTCGATATACTTATTGCTTTAGCTAAAAATTATTAAAAATGATCTATTTCAGTTATCCGCGTATCGACGAGCTTGGTGGGCACTATGGCTTCTTGTTGCAGTAATAGCCTTAATTATTTGGCTAAGTGTTATTTGTATTGTTGTTACACGCTGTCAAAGTCCAAGAGCTAAACCTTATAACAATATTATTGTTAATAGGTGATAAAGTATTTTTTTTGTGTATACATTTGCGTCAAAATGTCATTAAATTATTTAAAATAATTTTTGTTATTTTTATCATTTTGATTATCAAAAAAAATCGTCATTACATAAAACGAATGCACTTTGTTTTTTAAATTTATGGTAAAAATTTTTATATTTCAAGATTAAATCGCTGTTGCTGATAAAATTTTAAATTATAAATTTTTAAGAATAGAACAACTTAAGTGAGTTATTAGTGAAATTTCAGTGCATCGATGTTCGATGTGCTGAGGCGCTATTCTTCAAAAATCTACCGTAATGCTGGCCATTCACTTGGCCATTCTATCGTTAAATGATTTTGGCAAAATTTATCTGATCCGATAAGCCAATGAAATGAATCCAACCAAAAATATTAAACATTCTTAGAAAGAAAAAATGCAAATTTCCCGTCGATGATTGTCGATTTTCACTAAGTTTTTATAATTTCAGGATAACTGTTTATTTCTTTGAACAATATTTTTTTAATTTTTTTTCCAGAAATGTCATATTGTATTATTCTTTTCACATAAATTCATCATAATTTCATAAATTCATTCCATCTTCGTTCATTGATTCATTTTTAACGTGTTCATAAACTGGAATTGTGAGAAATTATTATTATTTTACTGAAGTGATAAAGTAGTGATAACAATTGATAATCCAAATATTTCGTATGAAAGAGGAAATTGTAAAATTTAAGATTCATAATTAAGACAATTAAAGGAGAAATTTCTTTGCAGTAACAGCAATTTTTTTTGACTGTCTATTCGATTTTTTTTGAGTCCTAACCATTACTGGCTAAACTCGTTCCGCTAGCATGTTACATTGGACAAATATGCCAGGAAGTCCCTCTTGGCTATAGAAATACATGTGGGTCGCCAGCATCGCCCGGATTTTTACAGGTTTACTCCTGCGGGGAAGCAAACCTCAGCATCGGCGCTCCAAATTGAGCAACCCACTGAGCCATTCTATCCCCAAACTATTCGATTTAAAATTTTTTCTTCCTTTTTCATTCAAAATCACCAGTTACCAATTATCAGTTACCAAAGTCAACAATTACAGTTATCAGTCACCTGTGACCAATTATGATTGAAAATGAATGGTCCAAATTTTGAAAAATCTTTAGAAATTAACAAGCTTTTTTTTTTTTAAAAAATTCTAATTTTCTTAATGGAAATTTATTCGTTTCATTTATAATTTATAGTCGTGAACGATGATCACAAATAAAATTTATTTATTTATTTAAATGCTTCTGAAAAATTTTTAATTTTTTAATTTCCCCAAAATTTTTAATTCAATTGAAATTTAAATTCGCGAAATTTGAGTTAATATTAAAATAAATGGGAATAAACGATTAAGAAGACATGAAGAAAAATGAAACCTTAAATGAAAACCTTGCACCACGGTGCCATTACACCATTCAATTTCAATTATTGAATATTGAAATAATTGCAGCAAAATTAATTTTTATTTACAAAAATTTAATCGCAAATTGATAAGCAATTTGACTATTTATTAAATATTCTATTTTTATTATTATTTTTTTAATTAATATATTAATTCATTTCATATTTATTCATTTATTATTCATTTCATAAATATTTCATTTAATTATTAATATAATAATGAAAATAACAAGTAATAATAGTAAATAATAAGTAATAAATAATATAATAATAGAAATAATAGGTAATGTAAACAATAATATTTTGTTACAATAATAATATTTTGTTACTAAAAACTGTTTTTTTCGAATTTTTATCAAAACAAAATTATTATTATTTAATGCGAATTAAGTGAAAATCTATAATAAAAATTCGCGAAAACAAATTTATTCCCCACAGTTCATCCCTATTTCATTCATTCATCCATTAATTCGTTTATCCGTTCATCCATTCTATTTGTCCATTCATCTTTAACTTAATTCGTCGTAATCAACTGATAAAGCAATTATGATAAGAGAAAAACAACCAACAAATAAATTCTCAAAAAAAGCAAAGGAAAAATCTTTCGGTCAAAAATGTCGATCTTTCCTTGTCTATCATTTTTTCCTTCTTCTTCGATAATTTTTTTCCAAATATTCTTAATTTTCTATTTGACTTATCGTTAATGTATTGCGAATATTTAAATAATTATTTTCTTATTTCGACTTTTTCTAAAAAAAATTGCAAAATTTTAAAAAAATTTCTGGTTTAGTTAGATAGATTTGATAAAAAGAATGATATCTTATCACTAACATGGAAATAATTATGCTTCCCTAATAGCTAATCGTATTTCGTTTTTATCGACAAATTCTATGAAAGAACAAGAATTTATTATATTTGTCCTATTTATAAAAATAACATATGACACAAATACTGCGCCATCTAAGTCAATTCTTTTGTAGAAAATTTCATTTTTATAAATTTTTATTTCTAATTTTTATTAGAATTTTAAAATTAAAATGGTTTTTAATAATTAATTAATGATTTTAAATAAAATTTTAAATAAATAAATAAAATAATTTTAATAGTTTTTTTGAAAAAAAATAAAATCCTCCGATTTTAATTAAAAAAGCATCTTAATTAAATGTATAAATAAAAAATTTATTTTTTATTAAAGTAATTTATTAAATAAATCATTAAAAAAGATAAAGATTGCGGTATCTATCTTTGTTTATCGTTGCAAAGAATGTTCACCATTTAGGTTTTAGGTTTTGGATTGGATTGGATTGGATTGGATTGTGACGATAAAAGTACGAGTGAGTCGTGCGGATTTTTGGAATTCCTCCACTCAAGAGTTAGATCTCTGCATATGCACTCAGAAATGAGAATAAAAACCCACTGAGCCATTCTATTCCGTATTTTGCGGATAGGATAGGATAGGATAGACAGTGCTGATTAGTGCTTGCTAATCTCACGATTTTCTTTTTTTAAATAATTTTTACCAATTTTTTGTTTGATATCTAATTTGATATGAAAAGGCGCGATTTTTGATACTTTCGTACACTAACTGATTTCAAACTGGAAAGTCGAGGAAAACGAAAGGATCTCGCAAATAACTTTTGGTGGCGATGATATCGAAAGAAAGAGGATTTCATGAATGATTCGCACCGTTCCAAACTGGAGATATGCAGAATTCTAAAGACGTGCCATATAGGCAAGCGGTTGCACAATCTCCATAAGCGATCCTTAAGTTCCTCTAAAAGAATTGGACGAGAAAGGACCCTAAACAAAAAAATTTGCTGTTTTTATCTTGTGCCAAGTAAAAACTGTGGAAAAAAAAAGAAAAGCTGAATAAATATGTATCGAAATAATTAACAAAGCGTTAAATGATGGCACAATCTGACAGGTGTCGCTATTGCGAAACAAGAGCGATCCTTTTCTGGAATAAATTTTTACCAGAAAAGCGAATTGTCCACAATAATAGAAAAAGTGTCGCAGTGGCCCTCGACAATCTCCTTGTTCCATGTCAAAATCTACTGATCTCTACTCAAAATCTACGTTTCATGGTGCACGGATTAATTCACTGCACCCTCCTATGACCATATACGGCAATTTTTTTTTAAGAGCTCTCGCCACTACTGGTTCATTAGCTTATCGCAATTGGGTAATATGCCAAGGAGTCCCTTGACGATTGAAATACAGAATCGCCAGCATCACCCGGATTTTTACAGGTTTACTCCTGCGGGGAATCAAACCTCAGCATCAGCGCCCCCAACTGAGCAACAACCCACTGAGCCATTCTATCTTCAACATCACAATCATGGTGCGCACTCCTGACTTTTCATAGAGAACAAAAATATTCCAGACATGCATATACGTCAATTACAACAGAATCGACAATGAAGTGGTTCTTTAGAAAGTGACAAAGGGTAAAATGCCTGTCAACAAGGCCTCAATTTTCCTGGCAATAACGATATTCCGTACATTTTAAGAATGGCTTCGCGAAAATTTATCCAACTTAACGATCATCGAACTCTTTCTTCAACAATTATATTTCTCAGAAAAATTCAACTTTTAACCAATTCCCCAACTTTTTAACAAATTTTCTCAAGGAAAAGAGCGAAACAAAGCGTTTTCAAGTAGTTTATTGATTCCGGATTTTTATGCGAATGAAATACACTAGTGCCAGGAATTTTAAATTATATTTGACGCTTATTTCCAAGAAAAATTCTTATTTAGGATATTTTATAACGAAATTTTCATCTTTCAATTTCCAATTTTTTTTTTAATTTTCTCAGAACCTGTTACTCGATTACTCCCTCAAAACCCGTTATATTGCCTTAATGCTTCACATATACGCGTATGGGTTTTTTATTTTTATATATATATATATGATGTATATGTGGTGTGTGAGTAATCGCATTTTTTTCGACACTATTATAGTATCCAGCAAACTCCACAGAACCTGTTGTACACCACCAAACTCCCTCTAAATTTTCTTAAACATCTTACTGTATTTTTTAAAAAAAAAACTCCACCGTGTCTTCTATGTTCATATATTTAATTTGTTAGACTCTCATACTGTGGAATTATGCTGGCCTAGTACATTTCCCGCCGTATTTTTTTGTTATATCTTATTAATATTCTGCAAAAATCTATCATACTACTGCCTTCGAAGTTTCTCGCTCCATAGCGAGATCTGAAACCTCTTTACAGATTCTAAAATCTTCAATATTTTGTAAAAGCTCACATCCTATAAAAATACTTAGCCCTTAAACCTTAATTCTATTGCTATAATTTATAAGTAACATTATTTCAAATCTATTTCAACCGTCTTAAATCTCTCAAACAGACTCCTCACTTTACTTCACTCCCAATTTTTCCAGTAAAAACTCCCAGTACATTTTTTGCTACAAGCAGTTTTTGCAGTTATAAACCATAAAAGGCACCATCGCAATGAAAAGAGAGGGTAAATTATATTAGTGGCAAGGGAATCGGTGAGCCATAGAGTTATTTCAAAAGGTTATTGAAGAAATATAACGAGCTTTGTGGAAATATG